GAAGTTTAAAGCAACTGGAGATGTTAAGAATCTTCTGGGAAGAGGATATAAATCTATTGATGCCACACACAGTGAGGGGGATGGTTCGAGTGGCTAAAGAGTCTTTGGACCACAGCTGGGGATTGACTGCAGACACTGGTTAGGTCTTGGTGTCAAAATGTCTCCCAAGCTACAATCAGACACCACCTACATAACCACAGATTGTTTGGGAAGGTCCCAGAATAAACCCTCTGCTGTCAGAACCAACAAACTCCATCAAGCGCCTACAGTTTGCCAGACGTTACCGAAACTTTCAGTGGGAACATATTCTATGGTGAGATGAGACCAAAAAAGAGCTTACTGGCAATAAACACATGAGTTGGGTTTGGCATAGACACAAAGATAGCCATGCAGAAAAGTAGCTCATTCCCACTGTGAAGTACTGCGGTGGATCTGTGTTGTTGTGGGGTTGTTTTTCTTCCAAAGGCCCTGGACAGCTTGTTTGGATATATAGTATTATGGACTTCAAGTACCAGAAAATATTAAATCAATGTCAAACTGCCTCAGCCAGGAAGCTTAACCTTGGCCATGGTTGGATTTTCCAGCAAGCCAATAATCTAAAGCACCTCAAAGTCATAGAGAAATGGTTCACTGACCACAGAATCAATGTTTTGCCATGGCCATCCCAGTGGCTTGACCTTATCCCCATACAAAAATGGGGATGAGCTCAAGAGGGGATGAGCTGAAGAGAGGGAGAGGGGAACCCACAAGTGTGGACCTTGGAATCTGAAGGATCTGGAGAGATTTTGTATGGAAGAATGGTCTCACATTGCTTGCCATGCATTTTCCAGTCTCACAAAGTATTAAATGAAGGGGTTCCAACAATTGTGGCACACACAGACTTGGAAAAATATTTATTTCACGATAATACTTCGTTTTTTCTTTCCATCATTGTACTTCACATAAAAATTAGACTTGTATTATATCTTGAATGAAAGATTAAAAGATTGTTTTTTTTAGTACAGCTCATTTTTCTCATGTTTACCAATATTTGTGGATGGTGCTCTATATCATCAGAAGGTCAGGAGCATTTTTAAAGAGAAATATTCTTAAAAAAGAGCGAAGTACAAGCTCCTGGAGGAAAATCAATTCAGTCAAATCAAAGAAAGCCAGCTTAATTATGAACAAAATGAATTTACTTGTGCTTACATTCTGTCTGCCAAACTAGACAGGATCATGAGCGATATCCACTGGATGCATGTAGTTCACACAAAGCACTGCTCCCAAAGCCTAACAATCCCCTGTCCCTTGCAGACAAATGCAAATGCAAGTTTCTGTGACAAGTAGGGGATTTCTATGGGAAAGAGACGCGGATATATAACAGAAAGACTGCCGAGGAGACTCAAATCCAAGGTAAGCGGAAAACACACAAAGAGAGCGTGGAAATGGAAATTTGTAATCTGCCGACTGTGTCAACTGAAAACACAGCATATTTACATGGGAATATATTTACCTCCATGTCCGCATGCCACACACTATCTGAATATTAACGACTTGGAACATGGGGGGTGGGATGATAGTCTTGTTGGTTTTGTTTTATTGATTTGAAGTCATACATATTCATCAAGCTTGAATATTTACTCTAATATGTAAATTGAAGGAACCCAGGACATGATCAGCATTCCTGCTCCTCAAATTTGGGTAAACACACGACAATTATCACAACAACACACATCACATTCATATTCATTAGCTTGATTTAGCATGTTCAAATGTTCAGGCTTTTTGTATGTGATTTTTTGACTAGACATACTGTTCCAGTGTAGAGGAGCAAACAGTGAATGATGAAAACAAATTTGAAATAGCAGCCTCAAAATTTCTCAGTTCAGAACCAGAGTTGTGCTGTATTTAGTATTCACTTGATCTTCAGGTCTAATTTTCACTGATGGTTAAAGTGGGTTCACAGAAATGTGTGCCAATTGTTCTTTGGTCAGTTTTTCTACATCACAATGTTTGTTTTAACCTTGGTCATGACACTGCTAGCTGTTTTTTTAGCATATATGCTTGAACCTAGCTTATTATTAAATTATTTCATTTTTTATTATTATTATTAAACTACTATACATCAAATTAAACTACACACTTTAAAAAATGATGGTTCTTCAAGGGTTCCTTAGTAAAGAAAATGGTTCTATATAGACCATTAACATTCAAAGAACCCTTTTCATGATTAAAGCGTTCGTTGTATCGTGAAAGGGTTCTTCAGATTGATGGAGAATGAACTGTAGATGGTTCTATATAGCACCAACTACTGTTATCTAACTATCATCTACTGTTACGATGCAAGGCTTATTACAATAGAAGAACAGCGTGTTCAAGATTCTATACAGAACCCTTAAAGAACCATCATTTTTAAGTGTGTAGAGAAACTGCTGATTTAGACCTGATTAGCTGAAACATTTAACTTCCACAACTATGAGTGAGTCCAGACGGGAAGTTTTCCTTTCTAACCTCGAAACCAGATTTGTTACATAAGCCAATGTCAGCTCAGAAATGGGGTGGGTGTGCGCAATAGTGATATCACCCCTGTACTTACTTCTGACTGGTGAACTCATCCCATGTTACAACTCTCTCCACTCTACTTTGTTTTTTCCCAGGTTTTGTTTCTCCCAACATATCAAACCTCAGAGAAACTAAAAATCATCATACATATCGTGTATCGTGAAAATGTCTTCAAGCATCGTAATGTTATTGTTCTGCAACATTGCCCATCCCTACCAGGCAGTAGCTACAAATGCTGCAAAGTCAAGCATTACAAATTTGTCTAGTGTATTTTTAATGGAGATGATTTTTGTGAAGGGCTATAATAACTACATATAAAGTTAACTACATGAATTTCCACAGGATTGCTTTAGGAGTCTTACACTAAATTGGATTAATTGCTCTATGATTTATTTTTTAAGAACACCATATGAAGATGAAAATATAACTTAAGTATCACATCAGAAGTGCCACATTAGACATTTTATAGTGTATTTTAGTATCAATACAGGTCTTTTTGTAAGGGATATATTGTGTAAAAAGCAGAAATAACGTTAACTGACACAAACTGCATTTTCACTGTGAGATACAGCGAACCCTAACCACCTAACAGGACACAGTGAAAAACTAGCTAGGTTAATGGTTGGATGTGGTTGGTCATTGTGATTTCTGTGTTAAGTCTATACTTGTTTGTGTTCTTCATAAATAGCTTAAATAATATTTTCACCTATTTAACTAAACAAAAACACTTATCTGTAAGCTGCTAAGCTAACACCAGCTAGCTCTTGCATATAACGTTAGCCTACATACCTAGTTAGCTAGCTAGTGTAAGTTTTCTAGCTAGCTACCGTGTTTGTCTTTTCTTGTAACAAACCCTCGAGCAGTAATTATGGAGGATGCTCACCTTTAGTTACATTCTTCAGCTTTTCCTCCCTGACGTTAGTGTTTAGATATTTCTCGAGCACTGGTCGGTAAAAGTCCGAGAAAACTCCGAAAACAACGTCTGTTGGAAAACCATGATTATATGAGCTATAAAAGTACCCGGATTAATTAACTGCTTAAACCAGCAGCCTTCACTTCTGCCTGCTGTTTTACCAAAGCAAAAAAGATGAGTAGTTAAGAAATAATTGGCTAATTAATCTGCTAAATGAGCTGTCTGTAGTCTTAAAGGGGAACTCCACCGATGTTTTAAAACTCTATTCTATATAATTAAATAGTTGACATGTAAACAACTTCATTGGTGTAGTTTGAAATGCTTAGCATTAGAGAAAATTGCCGAGTCAGAATTGTTTGCAGTGCTGGTGATAGGAACTAGACGTCTGAAGAAGTTAATGCCTCTAAAAAAAACTCCCTCAGATAAAGCTTTTATATGAAATGGTGAGATATATGCTGTCTGACACACTGTTTAATGATAGTTTTGTGATGAAGGTTTGGCATAAAACGTATTTTAATCAATTTACTATATCCCTCCTATTATAGTTGTCCCCATTCAACATTAATCATCTTTAAACATGATTGACATCGTTTTTGATTGACTTGGCAAAGAAACAAAGTACCCGACATAAACTTGGGTGACAATATTAATTATAGTCATTTTCTTGAATTGCTGGGGTCAAATTGACTTGTTCCCAAGGATAAAGGGGTTAGTAAATTTGAAGATAACAGAAACGTTAATTCATTGGTGACGGTGATGTTTGTTTTTCAGATTTATGACTATTTTACCATCAACAACATTACATTAAAAAACTCAGAAGGTACGTGTAGCTTCACTGGTGGGTTAGGATAGTAAATAAAATGGCTGTATTTGTGTTGTAGACATGGCAACCCCTGGTTCCTCTAACCACCAGTGTAATGAAATCACCTTAATGAACTGTTTCACATCAAACCACTCTGAATGACTTTGTTTACATCTCAGCCACTAAACTGTGCAGAAATAAAATCAGTGGAATTCTTTAATGTTCATATATGAAGCAAAGGTGGACAAGAAAAAGCGCTCATTTGTACCATCAATGACAGCATATGAACAGTAAAACAGGGCTGCCAGGATCCCATTGTTTTGTATTTGTAATTCCTTATGGGCAGCAGGCTTAGTATCAAGATCTATTCAGTATTAAATTAGGCTACCTAAAAAGTTGGTATTGGTAAGAGTATTTAAGATTCACAAATCAGAATCAGTAGGAGAATATCAAGTGGGGAGAAATGCTCCTAGCACATTCATTCTGTATGTCTCCAGCCAAATTAATTAATGTATATTGGGAATTATATCCAAATACAGCCCCAGTGTTTCACTTGGAGTTTATAGTGGAATGTCTACAGTGTTTATGTCAAGTGGTTTTATTCAAAAACAACTGGAGCTGACTCTGTACCTCTTTACAGACTGAAACAAATGTACTTTATGCTGTTTGATCAGCGATCCTAAATAATCCAAAAATGATTTTTACCAAACTGTCTGATTAAGCAGCAGAGAATGGAGACCTGAAAACAGACATTAACATTTTATTTTTCCCAGTGACACATAATATTAATATACATGTATATACAAATACATGACACCTAATGTACATTTTTTAGAAAGTAATTCAAAACAAGCAATAACAAAAAAGGAAAAAGCAATCTCTCTTGCACCACAACCTTCAGATAAAATAAAAAGCATTCTTACAAGTCTAAGACACCAGGGAGGACCAACTGGAACATCTGAATAATATCTGCATATTACAGATAAGAAAATGCCCTACCATATACCCCCTATTCATATAAATCACAGACGGTTTGATTATGCATAGTGGAATATGATGTTGATCGGCAGGCTGGTTAAGATGTTATCGCTGTGCGCTTTTGCACAGTCATTCATTCCTTAGTGTACTTAAGTGAGAGATGATATTTTCCTAAACTGGATGAATTACAAGCACCTAACATTTACGTTCCCTTAATAAGATACAATACACAGATATTATTCCATGTCATCAACCCCCATTTTTTTCAGCTATCACACGAAGTGATCTAGATCTACAGTCTTTAGAGTGCATTTTGAACAAAGGCCCTTACGTTATATATACACACGAAATGCTGGGAAATAAACACATACACGATTTTGTTTAGTAGAGCAAATGCAGCAACATGACAAGATGAGTACAAAAAAGGAGAAATCCAGTTCCTTCCATATAACTTTCATTCGTTTTCAACTGTAGGTTTCAATCATGTCTATGTTCCTCCTTTTAACAGCTGAGCTACAAGCCAAGGCTTTTTTTTTTCCACATGGCAGCTGGAGTGTAAACCAAAATAAGGGCATGTTCAGTTCTATTTTAGGGAGGAGTACAGTAAACACAAACTGGTCAGATAGTGTTCAGAGAAATATGCTACTGGATAGGGGTGCATTCTGCTACTATTACTATATTAGTGTCAATATATACAGGAACATTTAGTGAATAATCGCAGAGCATATTTGTGGTTGTTTAGCCTAACTGTGAGGCAACACATGGTGTAGTATATTACAAATGTGCATGTACAAGACAATCAGTGACACATGGCTCTTCAAAGTGTCTGTGATAAATTCCAGACGTCAAATCCTTCTAGTAGTTCTAAAATACACACTCAAACACCATTTAAGCAATGGGCCTGCCAGTATTGTACAATCCAATAGTCTGGTGAAAAAGACAATGCAGAGAGTGCCCTCTACCTGTGCATCAGCACACCTGCAGAAAGCTGAAGCAAATGGAATCCTCAGATACCTTAGTAATCTGAACATGTTCAAATCTATTTTACATATAATTTCTAATCAGATTCAGTCAAAGACCAGACTGGGCTAACTCTCAACCTCTTATGCAAGGGCATGATTTTCCTTATTTAGAGTTGAGAATTGTACATATTTAGAGTGCCTAGTTTGCCAAAACCACATAGTGGTGAGACCTCAAGTGTCTAAAAACAGAATTCCCACTAAGCAGGGAAAATTAAAGACATTCCACAGAGAGCACAACTTAAAGTCCTAGAAGAAAAAAAATTCAAACTAACATTCACTTTCAGAACATAGTGTAAGTCACTAACACCCATCTATACTAGTGAAATATCCAGGAGCTCTCCACCAAGCAAGTTTTTTGGAAGACTAAGATCCATTAATGCTATTTCAGGAAAGAATATAAATAATCTGCTTAAATAATTCCACTCAGCCAAAAACCTTCAGAACAGTAAATAATAATTCATACAAAGCTGACAAGGTCACATCAACATGTGATTAGATGTGTCAGGTACAGAAATGACTTCAAGAACAGAGTCAAATTCTGTAATTGGCAGCAAAGGTAAAGGTAATAAACTGAGTGCAGGCCTTGCTTTGTGGCTGCACTAAATCTATCACAGGAGTTACAGTTAAAAAAATTAGTGTGATCTGCTGACAGTGTGTAATGCACACAACTTTAGTAAACCTGAACTATTATTCCCTTCAAATCTTTCAATATCAAAAAGACAGGGAAACTCTATGGCGATAACAGTGTTACAGTACATAAACAGTACCAAGCTTTAACTTGTAATGTTGCTTGTTAGTAGTTTTAGTGTTTTAACGGCATGCGTAGTGTTCCTCTTAATGTGCACACCTACATGTGTACAGTATTATTACAGTAATCAATTTTGGTCCAGTTTTCAAGGTGACAAGACATTTCAAACACTCAACCTCAAAATGTACAACTGCTTAATCATCATTGTTATTGGATACACAGTACTATCTATCTAGACCAAAGAGTGAACTATGGTTGCCTTGTGTGGTGTAACACAATCACGTCTTGCACTATAATTCAATATTTTCCTCCTCAAATCTCTCTCATACACTCAATCTCACTCATACAACACAAAAATACAGAGATAGAGGGAAACCTGAGCTCCTCAGAAGAGGTCAGGAGAAGTGAAACGTGTGTTCTAGGCTTGATGAAAGCCCGCCGTGCCCCGTTTGAAATCCCACAGAGGGAGCAGGCAGGTGGAGGACGTGCTGGGACGGGAGAGGGGTGGGTGGGATGAACTCTCTTTTAGGGCGTCTGGGCTCCAGACCTTTTGAAGCTGCCAAGCAGGCTCTGCACGCCCTTCTTGACACTGGAGCCCACTCGGCGTGCCACTGAGTCTGCAGGAGGGCCTGGCAGGCATGAGGTGGTGCTCGGGGGTCTTGCATCCAGACACTTCTGGTACCTCAGCTGTCACAAGGACACAAATGTTGCAGTAAACTATGGTTCAGAAGTTTGAAAATCAGTTGGCATAATGTCATTCTCTATGCAACAGTAACTTAATATGTAATAAGTAATATTTGTATAATCTCTAACAGGCCACTCATGATCAAGACATTTTAGCCGATGATTGTCATGTAAGTAACTGCAAGGTCTTTCTTTATTAATTGTATGCAACTATTAAAGTATGTACTCTTAAAGTATATAGATCCTTACGTTGACAAATTGCCTTACACTTAGCAGCTCCCAACTGGAGACAGAGAGCATGAGCTCAAATAAACAAACCTTATTTACCACTGGCCTCTAAAACATTTACAGCGTCCGTCAGACAATGGAACTTCTGTTTTTCCACAAATCTCAAACATGCCTCAACACAACTGATTAAAATAACAACAAATACACATTTTGCTTGATGTGATGTGATTGTAAATATATTGCAAAATAACTGCAGTCATCTTAGATAATTGTGATTAGATATTTCTGTAATAAATACCGTGCTGCTTCATTATTCTTCAAGCTGATTTCATCACCAATTTTAAATAAAGTCTGGATATTACTTTAACTTTTTGTTCAATTTATATTTTTGACACTTCACATTTTCATGTTCAGCAGTTCATAATTCTGGACAATCTCAATTTTTAGCTTCCTATTAATGAATTGAAATCTACAAAATTTCACAGTACTAGTGTGTGTATACACACACACACACACACACACACACACACACACACACACACACACACACACACACAAACACACACACATGTAACTTGTTCATAACATTCCTGATTTCAAAGTTTTGAACGTAGAACTTAAAAAAAAAAAAGCAGAAAGCATTTCAAATGTTAAACAGATGACGTTTTCAGTAAATTCCACACATTCTCCAGTACATGTTCTGCATTATTATTCTCTCACTTACCATACAAGCAGCTTGCACAGCCTCACTAAGGCTGGCAGCATTGGGCTCACACCAGAACATGTGGCAGATGAAGTCTCCAGGGCCTTCCGCCATGATAAAAGCAAACGTGTGGATGTCCTTTCCTACACCCATGAACGACAGGAACCGCACTCGACACTCTGACAGAACCTCCTCAGTCTACATCCACACAAATAACACAAAACAGACGTGTGAAAAAATATAATACAAAGGCAAAAAGCTCTTATGCAACGCTGGAAATCTAACGTGAAAGACACAAGTATAAAATGTAATTCATATTATGTATACTGGTATACTCACATCTGAAATAAGGATAGTAAGAGTAGCAGAAGCCACATTCACAGTTACTGGGGTCCATTCTTCTTTGTCTTTGGAGCTAAGTGCAGTCTCCAAGGCAGAATTAACAATGTCCATGCCTAAATGAAGCACACACACAGTAAGAGCAATGTCCAGTAACACAAACCTACATAAAAATTCAATAGCAAACTTCCTGCTACTGTAAGTGTGAGCTAACCACTCTGATATGTGCCAACTACTTTAGTCAAATCAGTCCTAGACCTAGCAAACTGCTTCTTTCAAATCTATCAATTAGCTAGCTCTCCACAACCTGAGCTAGAAGAGGGAAAAGAATTATGCACCCTTTGTCTGCAAGCAATGAAAGGGTGTTTAAAGATAACAAAATGAATTCTAAAAAAAAGTTAGTATTACACTTTACCATAAAAAATGTAAAATAAAAGTTAAAATGAAGTAGGAACTGAAGTTGTCCCATGCAGAGGACATCTTTTCTCAAGTGATTTTAAGACAATGCACTCATAAGAACTGGTGCACTTACTGCATTAGGCATCGACACTTAAAACGTTTTAGTAGTAGAGCAAAGGGTGGTAAGAACCAAATGTTAGTAACAAGGTTTACCAAAAAAACATTGCCTTAAGACAACCAGTGACCTAACGCATTTTCATAATCATCGTGACAAAGTGGCAAGCCTGCATCCCTGACTTTTACAAATGCCGTTTCCACAAGCACATAGAAAAAAGTGTAGATCCACTTAAAATGAAGAAGAATTAGTGTTCCTTACCTACTGGTTTTGCTACTGGCACATTACCAAGGTAGCGCACCTGGAAACGCTGGACCAGCTCATTCTTTGGTGCTGGGAACTCTAAATGTTACATAATGAAAAAATGTTGATGAAGGTGACAGTAAGAAGCTGTAGATTGTGCTAACAATGCTTTGCAGTTTAAGCTGTCATGATGTCACACATAATACATTTTGCTTAGTTGCATTATTTGTACATCATACCCTGGAATGGAAGATCCACCAGTTTGGATGGGTCGATGTTGAGTCTATTCAGACTTGATTTTGAGGACTTCCTCTGGGCCATAATCTGCAGAAAAAGGGCCAGTCTGCATTACATACAATGGATAAACACAACTATGGTTCCCACAGTAGTGGGCGTTATAGCTGTTCAGCCTGTATACTTGAAATTCTTGCTAAGGTGAGTTTTGTCACATCCTTTATATAAATTAGTGCAACACATAGACAGATCAAAACAAGCCACTAACATTTTCGTGTTTAGCTCAATGGTTGAGTCAGGGATGTTTCAGACACATCTCAAGTGAAAATAAAAATGCAGCAGTCCATCAATCACCTCCAAATGTGCAGTCAGTTGCAGTCTGAGGTAGTCTAACGTTGTTTTTGAGGCAGAGGACATAAATGAGTATTATGACGACATGGTCTCAGGGCCTGGTCTTTGGCTAGCAGTAGACGGAATTGTTACCATGAATGACTTAAGCAAATTCCGGCAGTGTTGAATGGTCACTGATGTAAGCACAAGTGTATGGGACACATGTGAGACAGATGACTTGAGGAAACATAAAACACTTAGTACCATGTTTGGCCTGGCCCAGAAGAGTCCCTATATGCTTACTCATAAGATTAGGGGTAATGTTTAAAAAGAGTTCACTTAAGCATCTAAAACAGTTGCCAAGAAGTGCAAGTAACCAGAGTGCATGATCAATGCTTACTCTATAGCTGAAAAATGTTTACCTTGGAACAGATGTCATGCATGCTGGTGGCAATGTTCTTGGCAGGAGTGTCGCATCGGAACACATGACACTTCAGAACATGGGTCAGCTTGTCTCGAGCCACGTATGCAAAGTCCCTGGGGTGAGAAATCAAAATTAGTGCTTGTGTGCATTAAAGCATATTTGCGTTCAGTGTATGAAATAGATATGGGAGTGTATGAGGTGGCTATGGAAGTAAAAGACAACAATCGAAAAAAAATGGAAATGATACTGTATTAAATGAAATAGTGAAATAAACTACACATTTAAAACAAAGCTACGAAAATGACTATGACAAATGTATAATTTGACCCTATGAATCTACTACACTTCATAAACATAATTAAGACATCAAAAACCGCATACAGCAATGAGAAGCTCATAAAGGTGAGGCTGGATGGGTGAAAATGAGCTGTGGCAGCACACTGCCATGACAACCACATATATGGAAAATCGTGCACAATAATAGCAATACACTACCTCTCCCTGAGTCCCAGAACGCAGCAGCATAGAGAGAAATTAAACAAGGTTTGAATAGCAAAACAAAAGAGGGAGCACAACAAAAGTCCAGCTTGGTCTAGAAAGTCAAATTAAGGCTAAACCAAACAAAGCATGCATGTAACTGAACATAATTTATATGCATCAACGTGTATTATTTATGCAACATTGTTTAACTACACAATAGATGCTAAATTTAACTTAAAACAGCAACAGAACGTAAAGTAGCAGGGAAGGCAAGTACAAACAATCTATGCTGAAGGTTATGTTTAAAAGAGTGAGACCATTTTTGAGAGATTTTTTTGTTTATACTGTAAAGCATCCTTCAGTGTGAGAAAGGCGCTACATGAAAAGAATTATTATTCATATTATCATTATATAGTGGTAATTTAGGATATGTCTTCCACAGTATCCCCATCAAAACTCCCAATTAAAACAAAGGGCATTTTTTAAGGACTGGTGAAGACATATTCTGAGTAGGGATGAGACAGAAAATGTGTCAATAATTAAAATATAAATAAAATGATGGTGTAAAAAAGCACATCTAATTCTAAATGTTACATCATCTAATCATATATTAAAGTATTAATATTCAGAACTCTGACTGAAATTGACAGGAAAACTACAACTTCAGAGAACAACTCTACACACATAAATGCAGCAATGTTAGTAGGACACACTATTAGTGGGGCTGAACAATTAATCATTCTAATCAAAATCAAATTGGAAAGAGCACAATGTTCAAATCACAAGAGCTGCAAATTACATCTGTCTTTCTCATTATTGAATACTGTCATAAGTTTTAAAATGGGAAATTTACCCTAACAACAAAGAGCTTGTGAGCTGGCAGCCTTGCATAATACATGTTCAAGCCTTAAGTCAAAAAAATAAAATCGATGTGCTAGTCTTCTGACAAAAAGTTCCACAACTTAAAGGAGCACTATGCGAGAATTGGTATTTTTTGCTCTATGGCTCCCCCTTAAAAAATTATTTTTTTTGCATGCTAGCCTGAAATGTGACTAAAGGTTAGATTACTTTTTGGCATCTGGAAAAACTACAAAACCCTGGAGACCAGGATGACACAGATAAAGTTACAGTCTTGTCACAATTCATAAATAACACTGGCAGAGTTGTACACTCTGATGTGGGATCTTCGTCGTTTTCCCCATTAGCCGTGAGACTATCTTGCATTCTTATATCCCTTTTAGCTCTCGCCATGAGTAAAAGCCAGTTTGAGATTTACTCTTCTCCTGTCTCTTGTTAAGTCACTCTCTCTTTTTCTCTTCCTCGCTTCCGCCAACTACGTCTTCTTCGCAGCCTCCACCATGAAGTGCATGCTGGGAATACCAAGCTAGGTTCCTATAGCTAGCTGTGTGACGAAGTTGTAAAGCATTACGCAGTTCTCATGAGAGGTTTCGGGCCTGCTCCTCCAAGGTTACATAGTGCTATAGCAGGCGTTCCGGGCCCCGAGTGGGTCTATCATAGATATAATGTCTATTATAGAAATTAATCAATCTCAATATTCGAAATATTGGTCAGACAAATCAGATTTAGATATTTACCCAAGATTGTTCAGCCCTAATTGTTAGTGAGCTAAGAGTGATTTAGGATTAGACAGGATGTATGAATGTGCCATTTCTCAACATCTTGCAAAAACATTACAGAATATGAGCTAAAACTAAGAATTTAATCTTTTCTCTAATATTTAGAGCAGGTATGACTAAAGCTTGCACTGACCTCCCGTTATCCCTGCCAACACCCCACACACGGATGCTGACTATGGGCTGGGAGTGGAGCAGGGTCTGACCCAGTGGATCTATTAGGTTCAGCATCTCATTCTCCAGCACCAGAAGCATGTCTTTACCCTGAAGAACAACATCAGAAGATGTCACCAACTTTTAACTTCACACCATGTGTAATGTCTCAAGGTCTCCATTAAAAATAAACACATGCATACCTCTCCCCAAATGCCAGCAGTGTCATGCAGGTTATGTTTGTGATAGGAGAGTTGTCTGATGCAGTTGTTGACAGCAATGCTGCTCTTGCCAGGTGCCATCTCTTCTTCTGATATCTCCACCCAACCCAGAGATCGTACCGCAAAGCACTATAAAAACACAAACATGTACAAGCGACAAATGCTTAGATGCAGTGCAGCTTTTATTGGGAATTTTAAATTTAAACATGTAAAATGTAAGAATTAGCACCAATTAAAGATTTAATGAGAAGTACTGCAGGTTAGACATTATAGGAAATTAATATCTTGCTCCATACCTTGGCCTCCACGTCAGTACTGTATGAATTTGGTTTCTCTTCTCCTTCAGTCTGGGAACAGCTGAATATAAACATACAGAGAAAAGCATCTTAAAATTAGGAAGCAGTACTGTTTAGCACATGCCAGTAGCAACACTTTGCAATTCACATCTCTGAAAACCTAAATGAAAAAGAGGCACACCTGAGGTTGATGGAGGCATAGCGCAGAGTAGCCCCCTCAAATTCCTTCAGACTCTGATCAGAAGTTACATCCTCTTCCTAAACAATAAGAATGACAGGCAAAAAATGTAAGACTTTCATGATTACCAATTCTTCAAACATCTGCACTGATGAACAGCATAATAAAGAGAGTTCACATACCTTCCACAGATCATCATTGAATCTATTTGGACGGGACACACTATTCCACGTAATCTAAAGATGAAATGTTCATATTTCAGTCTTGATATACATTCAACCAAGCAGTGACAGAAATAAAACTTCCTTTGAATTATTAACAGCACTCTTCATTGTCTTAACTATACGGTACTATACAGTACTACTGTATAGTTAGCTGATTAGATAAAACATGTTTTGTCCACTCTTAAATACCCTTGTTCCTTTTTCATTACATCTTGCAGATGTACATGCCTTACAAAAACTTGCATGTCCTGTAAATTAAAAAAAATTAATAAGGTTGTCTATTATGATTCAATACACTGGAAGCAATAATGCTCACTGCTTGTACCTGTGGCTCCTCAGAGGGGGTAATGGCAGGGGAAGTGCTCGACGGTCTCTCTGGGGCTGCACCCTCCTCCAGGGGAGATGGTGGCTCCCACTGTGTGGTGCCAGTGGGAATATGCCAGTAGTAGGTGCCTGAGGTATCCCGCACGCGCATCCATCCAGCTGGCAGGTCTGTGTCTGTTTCAAATGCGCTGCGGTCCCAATAAGACTCTAATATTCATGCCAGATGGTGGTGGGGGTGGTATTAAAGAAAAAAAAAAAATTAGAAATGTTACAATAGGCTGTAATCTCAACACACCACACGGCTATGCTCATCATAAACCTTTCATAGCAAGAAAACAACTATTTAACCTTATTTAATTAAAACCAACATTCATGAAATAGCCCAATTTACGCTAGCTCTGTACATACAGTTGGTATTATGCTCCTATTAGGAAATCTGGGTCTAAGCAGCGTTTTATCTATGGGGAAAACAAACAGTGGTCTTGAAGGCTGCCACTATCTTACGCTGTGGTAAACAAAAATGTTGAACAGTTGACACGTTTTGCCAATCATACATTCCCCCACCAAATGTCACCAGATCCTGAATTACAAGGTTGTTATAGATTAGATTAGACCGAACTTAGTCATTGTGCAGAGTACAGGTACAGAGCAAATGAAATACAGTTAGGATCTAACCAGTAATAGTTTAGTAATAGTAATATTTACATATAAAGTGCATGAAAGTAACCATGGTAAGTGAGGCTATGGCTACAATATGTACAATTCAGGACAGTAGAGTCTTAAACAAAATGTAAATATGCAAGTATAAAAATATAATATACATATATACAAAGTAAACGGAGAGTCAAATAACGAGAGTCAAATTTTTATAGAGTCAAATTATGAATACCGCTACATGCAAGCTAACATTGAGACTGGCAAGCCCACCACAAATACGCAAGCTTAGTCAAATGTGGTAGTTAAGCTGCTTTGGGAGTAGTAGCCTTCAGTCTGAGTACCTGATGTTGGTATATAAAAGTGTACATACATGTGTAGCATGTGTGTAGCATTATATATATTTTGACTCCTAAACAACCTTTTAATTTAGAGGACCCAAGAACACTTTGTGGTCAAATGTATACAACATTTTTGTTTACCACTGGACACAATGGAGGCAATTTTCGAAAACGGCATTTATTTTCCCCCTTGAAAAAAACTGCTTAGACCGGAGTTCCTAATATGGTCATGATGTCGACTACAGGGGTCTACATCACATTACAATTACACTGCTGGACCTGATGATTGCAATTGTGCCATTAAGCATGAAAGAAACATAAAAGTAAATTCTTTATCTGCTTTGATTAAAGATTGCATTTTATAACCAAAATTATCTACCTTGTTATGACTCATTACAACACTAACCTAAATTGTCTGAGATCGGTCAGTTGCACAATAAAAATTAAGTGAGAGCTGATTTGCATACTGCAGCCTTTTCTGATACCAGTTTTGCAAGAAGATATGTTGTGCGGTCCTAATTTGTGCACTATTACAGTACTATGATAAAAACTAGTATAAAGCAGGCTACCTGGATCTCCGTCAGGGGTGCTGTTGGCAGTGCTCCCCTGGGACAGAGACATACAGCTGGAGTCCTCATCACTAGCTCCATTCTTGCTGAACAGTAAGCATGTGTTCCTGCCTCCGCCTTCAATGCTTTTCCTCGACTCACTGGTGCTCTGTGTCTCAGAGGAGTCTGTGTCCTTCTCTCCACCCCCGAGAGGGAGGTTCTCCTCTTCTTCTTCCTTCTCCTCCTCTTCCTCCTCCTCCTCATTCTCTTCCACCTTGCCCTTGGGGGCCTCAGTGGTATCAATTAAAATAGGCTCGTTGGCGGCGTTCCTAACATCCAAGTCAGAGCACAATACCTCCAGGGTCTTATTATTCTCCACGTCATTCCCTTGCACCCCAATCATGGAGTTCCGGTTTGGGTTCATGTCCGGGCTTTCGTTTTCATTTTCGACCAGGTTAAGGTTCTGGTCTGGGTTTCTGTTTAGGTCCTGCTGCTTCTCAGCTACTTTGCGCAGCTGGTTCTGGCCTTCCTTCATCCACTTGGCATTGCTCCCAGAGACAGGGTGACCCTGCTCATTTTCCTGATTCCTGGCCCGCTCTTCCTCACGGTGTTGGAGGGAAGCGTCATCATCCAGTCCACCCATGATGCCGTTGAGGAGCTGGGATGGGGTGGTGCTGGCGTAGATTCGGCGGCTCTTAGGAGATGAGGTACACGAGCCTTTAGCTTTGCCTAACTCTGCGTCTAGAAGGGCACTATGGGGGCAGCGTAGATCGAGGTTCAGTGAAGGGGGCAGACAAGTGTTCTCGTTGACCACGTCTGAAGAGTTTTCCAAAGACATGGCACAGAGCTGGAAGCCTCTGGAAAGGGCTGTCAAAAAGAACTTTTTAACTTCCATGACAGTAATAAAAGTAACCCATGATACAGTACTTTTTTGTGGTGAAGAGAGGTGGGTAGGGGAGCATAAACTCAATCAAGAAAAAGGAACTGTTACTCCAATTAAACAATGACTTTAGTAAAACTACCTTTTCAAAAGTACTAACTTAGAGAACCGTAATGGAACTCCTTAGTACATCTGCACCTAACAACACAGAAACCTTCATTTGTTAAGTGCTATTGTTCTCTTTTGGGATCTTTTTGGTCTAAAATAAAATTCTAAACCTCAAAACTGAGAGGTGTGAGCAACAGCCAAGTTTAGGTGTTGTCACCAACGTAACACTATGGAACTAAACACAAAAAAGGAAGCAACAACTAGATGATTAAAATGTAAATTAGTAAGAAGTAGATTACTTTCCTCACATCACAAATACACCTGAGAAGAAGTAAAATAATACAACATTAATCAATATTTTACTTAGGTACATGTAAAGAGTTACTGCCCAACTCTGGTGGTGATAATTTTTCTCTGCTAGGCACTGTACACAAAAAGTCCCCCAGCTGTTAACACCATGGTCCAGCAACTTCGTGAGGAGACTGGATGGTATTTTGGCATATTAATAAACGTGGTAAGTGTCTACAAGAATAGAACAGATTCCTCAAATTACATCTTCGCTTCGTTCAGGTTGCGGGGTTCAGTGTTGTGGCAGTGTGAAGAGAGGTCCAACTGAACATGATTACAATTTAACATTATTTGTTCTCGATTTTTAATGTCTCTAAAGCTGGAATCAGCTCGACACAGTGGTTAATGACAGTCCTAGAATTATTTTAGTATTCTTCAAACAGGTCGTGACTTCAATCTCTTCAGCACTAACGTTACAAGCATGTAAAGATGATCGAGTAAAACACCTGTCTGTGTTTGTTTATGTTCTTATTTTTAGCTAGCTATATTAGCAACGTATCATTACTGAACTGTAACTACAACATTGGGGAGCTACGAATCCGTAATATCAGCTGTTGTGTAGCTATATGGCTAACGTGGGCCTTAACGTTAGCTTCGCATTTAGCTTAACGTTAGCTAGCTGGTGGCGCTGGAGGCTAACGTTCGCCAACCGACAGCCTTCTGACGACCACCATACAACGGTGAAAGATACGAGATAATGTTGAAATAATCAATGTACGACTATAATTATATATGTCGTTGATTCAATAAAGTAATGTCGATCTAATTCCCTGACTAGCCAACGCTAGCATCATCCTCCATGATCTCTCTCACTCCCACAACATAAACACACCCTGAACCAGAACCAGTCAATGAATAACCGAGCTAAACCGGGCTTAACCTTAACCAATTATCCATTTTGAACATAAAACAAAAAGAGTGAAACGACGTTAGCTCACCTTTTATAGAGTATCCTTCATTAATGTCCAGCAATTCGTGTAACCAAGTAAATGAAACGGAAAAACGTCCCCCTCCTCCTCCTCCGCTCGCCCGCTATGCTGTATTCATAGGACTGCATCAGCTAAGCTAACCAGGCTAACACCGTTAGCCACCGCCTGCGTCACACCGCCCACGTCAACGCAGCGTCGACTTCCAAGGGGCTCTTTAATGATGCTGTCGTATTTTTTAGAGGGTGTCAAGGAAAATTTCCGGATACTCTTTAGCTAGATAGGAACCAAATATCAAATATTTCTAATTATTTAGACCTACACAGGTGTACTTGTTAGCTATAATTATGGAAATTTTTCTCTCTGCATACTTTGTCAGCCCCCTTTTTAATGGTCAGGATCCCCACAGGACAACCACAGAGCAGGTATTATTTGAGTGGTGGATCGTTCTCAACACTGCAGTGACACTGACGTGGTGGTTGTGTGTTAGTGTGTGTTGCGCTGGTACGAGTGGATCAGACACAGCAGCGCTGCTGGAGATTTTAAACACTGTGTCAATGTTAGGGCCGCCAAATGTCACATCTCTGTCCTGATTTCACTTCCCAAGGACCCTCGGCCAAAGTTAGCAAGTTAACATGTTTTAATGATCATGCAAGCCTTTACAGTTAATTTCAAAACTTCACAGATTTAATTCAGTTGTGAGCCAGCTTTGTTGCATTTGTTTAGGAATGTACTGAAGTTCACAAAAAGTCAGGCACATACATATCTACCTATGCCTTTTGAGGTTCTGCCCAGAGTTGCTGACTGATGGCTGTGATATGCATGATTCGTCCAAAAACACTGCGAGCGGGCATTTGAGCCACCACTTTTCAAAATACTGGGCCGAAGACCCACCTCTTTCTGATCGAGTTCAGATCACTTACATCATAAAAAAATGAAACTACGTGAAGCGCTGACCAATAGACACGAACAGAGAAAGAGTGTGAAAAAAACAGAGCCAATCAGAATCTCCATTTCAACTGGCGGCGGGACATTTCCCAATCAGTATAGACTTTGTGAGTTCGTGTGCAGTGAGAGGAGCTGCAGCTCACTGATCTGGTTAAAGTGTTTTACTGTGATACATGAGCTAATGCACTGAGCTGCAGTTTATGTTGATGTGAAGTCTATGTGAATTTACGAAATGTCAGATTTTTCAATGTCAATGTAGCAGTAAGAATATTACATTGCTAAACTGAGAACGTTTTCAGATCTACCATGGTTGGTGCAGGCCTGTTGAACTTTTTCTTTAGTTTGGTGAACACATCCGTATTCAGGTCCACACAGAAGAGCTCATTCCTGAGGGAATTCAACACCAGAACGTGTTTTTCTCAGTGCACATCAGCACTGTACTGTCCGCACAGTCAGTCACACAAAGATTTGTGTTTGATTTGGGCACATGGATCACAGAGTGTTTTTTTGGCCAAGCATCAGCGACCTGACTAGTTTGATTCAAATTGACAAACCAATCATAAACAAGAAGATATCAATTATGATTTATTACTATTGCTATGATGCACTTTTTTCCTATTTTTTATATCTTTGTGGCAACAAATGTGAGAGTAAGAGAGTGCTTGCTTCCCTGCAAAATTGGTGTGTAGAAAATGGGTTGGGTTTGAAAACAGCCTGATGTTATTTAGAGATGTCAGGTAGCAGAGTTTACTATCTGAGGCTGTAAGAAGTGCAGAGTCAAAACAAAAACACTGACCCTGTTCATGAATAGATATGTTGTTAGTGTCACATTAAAGGTGGTTTTAGTCAGTGACCAAATTACATTTCGTCACTCAGCCAACCGTATTTTTTTGGGGGTGATCAATAAGTTTTGGTCCACTTACTGCCCACTCTATTAGACACGCCTACCTTGCCCCACCTTTTAAATGTAAAGCCACAGACATCATCATCATCATCAGTGGTCACAGGATGCTGCCCACAGGATGGGCACAGGATGGGCTGTTGGATATTTTCGGTTTGTGGAGGTGTACCTAATAATGTGGCCAGTGAGTGTATATGTGAAATGCAGTTCAAATGCCTTGTTTAATTCTAAACTACATTTTGTATGCTTTCAAATGTATTTTATGAATAGGCTACACTTTCTTCATGTGGGTGCATCTGCCCCAATAACTTAATCTGCCATGACTGTAAAGGTTACTGCCACATTACTGCCACATGGTGGAGCTACACACACCTGCTATTCTGATCTACTGCCATTCTGATTTAAACTCTGCTGTTGAGAACTATTGAGTTGCCACAGTGCCATTCCACCTGCCTTTTCTAACAACCAAAAAGTAGACTATAGAACATGATCATGGATAAAGACAGAACAAAAACACTCTGAATAAACTGTATAATCTCCTGGTTAAAATTTTTAATGTCTGATGATTCCCTGGATGAAGAAAGAGTCAAAATAAAGGAAAAAAGCTACTCTGCCTGACAAGTGAAAATTACAGTACTTTGCAAAAATCAAAGACCACCCTTCATTTAATTTCCAGTCAAATTGCCATTAACTACAAGTTATTCAGTTTTCTGAAATGTTTCTGAGGAGATTAGATAAACGATAATCCACTTGCATGAGGAATGAGAAAGTCAAAAGAAAATAAGTGAAAAATATGAATTTCAAAAATTGAAGTTAAAAAACCTAAAAAGATACTGAGAAAATTGGACTTCTAACAACCATGCAAGACCTGGTAGGCCATCAAAACTGTCACCGTCAGATAAACAACACTTAAAGCTTTCATCTTTGAGACAGAGGAGAAAATAAAGCTTCACTCTTGCTTCAGATCTGAACAAATCCACAGGTGCTTCTGTCCACCCTTCCACTATGAGGACACAATTTAACAGTGTTTACATTTGTGGCATTTGAAAGACAGTTTTATCCAGAGCAACTTATAATTCAATCATTGTACAGAGGTAGGCGGAGGTAGTGTTAGGAGTCTTGCCCAAGGACACTTTTTGGTGTAGCTAGGGTGCTTGCCCAGGGTTCAAACCCCAGTCTGCAGCATGGAGGACAGAAAAGAAAACTGAGAAAATTTGTATAAGAATGCTGAAACAGTATATCTGGGATGTACAGTATGCTTTTATGTACTGGTGTGTCTAAATTTGTATTTGGTATTACTTGGTTCGTGAGAAGTAAGCAACTAACTTTTAAGGCTGAACTTTAAAGCTGTGCAAAAGTATTTCTGGGGATTATTTAGAAAACTGAACGCACTAGAAATTAAATGAATGAAATGTGGTCTTTGATTTTTGCATTATACTGTATGGACGCCACATGATCTTTTCAGTATTTCTCTACATTTATAACTAATCATAAAATAGTTTATAGTTTGTGGTAGTCAGTGAATTATAGAGGCCTATGTTCAATATTGTACATTTGACAGACCTGAATTATGATGTCTGTTCTTATTTATTCATTTTTATTTCATTTATTTATTTATTTAAGTCATTTTAATATTACTCACAGTAACACTGTTCACATAAACAGCCATATAATTCTTGTTTGAAATGTTTCTGCCTGGTAGTTTGGTCTATCTTCAGTAATTTATCACTGCTACCATACCTTTTCCTCACTAAAATCACAGATACAGTACCGCAATGAATGTTTGTGCCTGAACAACAGAGCAGAACTAACAATCATCTGTGTTACAATACACCTCAGTTTTACAACTTGGTTGAGAGTCTTCGGACTCCGCTGAGGCCCTCTGATTTCTGTCGTCCAAGTCCAAATAGTCCTTTGAAGATAAAAAATATTATTTTAAAATATTCACTGTAGTTCAGTCATAGACATTCATAGAAAGAACACACTGCATATAATATTATGCTATAGCATGATCCTCCAAACACGTTAGAATAATTTGGAAGTATATTTAGCATTAAAGCGTGAAGAACACTTACTCGATCATTTTCAAGAATGTTTTCCAGAACTCTAACAATATCCTTAAAAGAAGGCCTCATGGAATAGGGCTCTTGCCAGCAGTCTTTCATCATTTGTATCCTGTTGAGTGTAAAATAGAGACCGTTTCTTAGAGGCAGGGCCTGCACTAGAAGCTAGCTTGTTTTGTTTTTCTCTTTGTATAACCACGAGAAGTTATTTTGCAGATTATATGATACATTATATGTCAGGTGTTTCAGACGCATTGTTCTAAACGCTTATGCACAAGTAGTGACTGACATGCTCTTCTAGACTTGCAATCAGATTGAGTGAGTCTCACAGCCAGGGCCTGAGAGCTGGCAGCCCTGAAGTCTGTGCACACTAAAAGTTCATTTTCTATTCACAGATTCATCAACAGACAATAATAATAGTAAAGTAAATAAAACACACAGACCAGACACTTCATTATGTGATACACATCCATGTATCTACACTCATTGTCCATTTTATCAGCTCCACTTTATATATATATATATATATATATATATATATATATATATATATATATATTTTGGGGGGGGGTTTACCAGCGCAACACACACTAACATGCCACTACTACATCAGTGGTTAGTGTCACTGCAGTGCTCTGTGGTGGTCCTGTGGGGGTCCGTTGAAGGACAGGGTGAAAAGTGGCTAACAAAGTATGCAGAGACACAGTCTACAGTCTGTAATTGTAGAACTACAAAGTGCTCCTATATGGTAAGTGGAGCTAATAAAAAGGGATAATGTGTGTTGATATAAGTAGATGTACTCAATGAAGTGACCAGTCAATGTATGTGTCCGTTTTCTGCTGATATTTGCTGGTCTAGTTTGTCGGGGATCTGCCAGTCTAAATTTGCTAGTGTTTGACAGCCTCTTTTCAGTACTCATTTTTTTGCACATATTTAAATGCCTTTAGGTTGGATATATATTATAAAATAGGATTGTATTTAATTAATCTTGAATGTTCAGCCTGTTAAAATTAACAGGTATGAGTAAACATTTCCATTTATGCTATTTTTGGCTTAATTATTTACAAATGGAAGGCAGTCAAAACAAACCTTTGGTTCTCCTCTAACTCTATTCTGAGAGATGTGAAAAAACCTGAAAGGTGTGAAAAGACCTAACCACTTCTACTCACATCTCCGGCCTGCATTGTTCAGGCTCACCATTTCTGTGGCCAGCACACACATAGCGAGCTACTTCCTCTGATGTGTTCAAGTTAGGGTAAGGCAACGTGCCTGAAGAATGCAATGAGGAGTTAGTCACAGCTGTCTAGCAGACATATGGAAACAGTGATAAAACAGGTGATAATTAATGACTGGATTTGCTTGTCCATGAATGTAATCCTTTTTATGAGCTGACTTCATTTTAGGTCTCTAATTATTTGTGAATGACACACTTACCAAATGTTTGCATCTCCCATATTACAATACCAAATGCCCAGACGTCCCCTTTGAAGCCATAAACATCATTCTTGAAGTACTCTGGAGGGTACCACCGCGAGGGAATTCGTTGCTGCAGGAAGGACAAAAGAGCACCACAACCTGAAACTATACCCTCAAACTGAGAAAGTAAATATGAAGGTGCAATGATCTCATACCCCTTCATATGAATGTACAGAGCAACAAATATTCAATACAAAATACACACACACACACACACACACACACACATGTATATATATATATATATATATATATATATATATGTCTGTATTGTGACACTTCATTTTGAGTGGTACTTTTTACATGAAATAAATACTTGACAGACATATCAACAACATATCTATGACACAGCAGCAGTGAATACATTGAGTAGATTATCAAGAGACTTTAACTGCATAAATAAAATTTGTTTGTAGTCTGCCGAATTCATTTGTTTTACACTTTATTTGGAGAGTCCAAATCCATGTCTGTGGATGTTAACCTGAAAGGTCACTGAGCATGTAACATGTATAATACTGACCATCTCAGCATCCTCAACCAGCTGTGAAAGACACACTGCTGACACCATTCTGTACCTGGAGCTAAACTGGATTAGGTTTTGGTAAAGTTTAGGGTTAGGATTAGGGCCAGGGTGAAAGTTAGGATTAGATTTTGGGTTGAGGTTAGGGTTAGGGTTAGGATTAGGATTAGGGCTAGGACAAGGGTTAGGTTTTGCCTAATGGAAGTACTACATAAACTCTACTTCGTGTCACATATCAACATATATCAAACATCTACTTAATCTCAGTAATGTATCAGCATCTACAAGATGTTTACCACAATGTATTCAGATGCTGAACTACAGCTACTTCACTACTATATATATATATATAGAGAGAGAGAGAGAGAGAGAGAGAGATTAAAAAAAAATTATGTCCAATTAAGGCAAATCTGATTTTTGTGTGTGTGTGTAGCCTTGGAGCTTCCTGAGCCCAAGTGTTTGAATATTTACTCAAGCAGCATTTTTTTAAAGGGGTATTCCACAGATTGTTTATATTTATGCATAAGTCAATAGCGGAGAGATAAACAAAGTAGTCTTTTGATTTATGTGATGTTGATGTTGTGATTGGACTCTTGCAAATGAATCTCAGAATTTAAGAACCAGTTATTTTTCCCACCCCTAAATAGGACCCAGGGGTTGCAATGTCTACAACACAAATATGCAAGTATTTTATTTGTTATCCAAAACAAACAGTCAACCTACACTTAAAGTTTTTATAAGTACTGTTATATGATAATGGTAAAATGGCAAATCAGAGTACTTTGCCTTATAATGCCCTGCATGTCCCTCTCTCCTGTAAATGGCTTTGAAAGTAATCTCAAAACTACTGTAAAAAATGTAAAACATGTCTCAGGCATCAGATAACATATTCATAACCATTTCACCATGTAACAGTTTTCTGCGAGGGAGTTTTTAGAGGAATTAAACACCTTAGATGTCTGCTTCCCATCAGCACCACCGCAAACAATTCTGACTTGAGAGGTTTCTCTGGAAAGCGTTTCACATCAAACCACATTGAACGACTTTGTTCACACCATAAACATTTAATTATCGAGTATTTTCCATGGCAAAATCATTGGAATTCCTCTTTAAACTTTCTGCAGGTAAAAGACTTATTCTGGCCTTTAAAATTCACTGTTATCCTGAAAATGTTGATGGATCTCAAGAGTGTTGAATACTCCCCAAGGCAGTGTACAGACAAAACTACAAACACATCTTACTTACCCTGTAGTCCTTTTTGCAGCTGCTGCCTCTGCTCCATGTCCGTGCAATTTCTCTGGCCAGTCCAAACTCAGCTACTTTAACTTCATGGGGAAAACTGTGCACCAATATATTCCTCAGTGCCAGGTCACAGTGCACTATCTGATGAATATATAATAAGCCAATAAGTAGAAATAATCTGAGGCATCCTGTTGTGAACAAAACCCGTGTTGTTATAATGCAGAGTAAAAGCAAAGCTCTTGTAGTGTAAGTACCATTTTAGAGCGCATGTGCTCCATGGCGTGTGCTATGTGGTAGGTTGCGATGGTGAAGAGCTGCTGGAGCTCTTGATCCCTGCACAGTCTTTCCTGATTCACCTGCAGGAAACTGCGTAGGGTCCCGTGGGTGACGTACTCCATAACCAACATATACGGAGCTGCGACACAAAACGTGTTGGCAGACCATCAAATGCAATAGCACATAAAGTACATATGTTTGTATTGACCCAAACACAGGTGGCCTAACACACCCTGATGTACTTGAGGGGTTAATCCTTTAGGGGTGTAAAATGCATTGAGGCATCTGATGTGAAAGTAGCAGTCAGCTCCATTCTTAACCTATTTTTTGGCCAGAATAAAATTCACAGGCTTTTTTCTAATGTATCGTTGTTAGTGCTGGTCAATATATCATGTATACCTGTATTGCTGTCACACAAGAATATTGATTTTTAGTTTTAAATCTAGCATTATAATGATGATCCACGATAACATTCTACTCCATAAAAATAATTCTGAATCTAATTAAATCGTGGTGAAGTTTGAGCTAATCTATTGAACAATTTTCTGAAGATTCATAATTGAATTGATTTGTTGCAAGGTCTGAGATCTACACCCCTACCTTCTACTGCTTCAAATGTCATTTTGAAATATTTACAGCATTGCAGTTTTCAGCAGAGATTCAATGTAAACCATGTCATACCTTCTGTGATGTCCCAGTCCAAAAACTGCAGCAGGTTCTTGTGCGTGCCCAGCTTCTGCATGACTGAAACCTCTCTTTCCACCTGCCTATGGCTGCAACCTAAAAAAAAGACTAAATTATTAAAACACAGTATGCCAAAAGGGTAACAACAAGGACACATAAGAAATTAAAGGGAAAAATTTCTGCATAATTCTCACTTATTGAGATGTAAACAAGGTCATTTGTTTAGAGTTTGACGTGAAATAGTGCATAGTAAAGACAATTTTTTGGAACCAGGAAACAGGGGTCGCAATGTCTACAACACAAACATAACCATTTTATTTAGCATTTACTATCCAAAATGACCAGCGAGCCTACATGTCTTCTGATTTTAAGATGTAATGTTGATCATAGTAAATTAGTAGTTAATCTAAATATTTTGCCTTACAATACCCTCGCATGTATCTGTCCACCATGAATAGATAAAAAAAACAAAAATTAGGGCAAAACTTTACATCAAAACTATTACAAAGCATTGTCTCAGGCATCAGGCACTGTATTCGTAACCTATTTATGTAATAACCTTCTGTAAGGGGGCTTAAAGTGGAATTAGTCCGCAAATGTCTGGTTCATTTCACCACCACTGTGAACGAGTTTCCTCTAGAAAGGCGCATTTCCCATCAGGCCACTCTGAATGACACTGTTTGCACTGTAACCTTTTATTTATGAAGGAATGTTAGAAAAAATGATGTAAGGTCTGCAAAAATGTAAAGAAGTGAAATCGTACCTTTTTTGAAGATCTTACAGGTGAACGTGTTGTGGCCTTTGATGGTGCCATGCATCATTTTCGCTTTATAGAACACTCCCTCTCCTCCAGCTTTGATGAGCTGATGCAAAACGAGGTCGTTCTTATTAAATCGGCCATCCTGTGAAATGTAGTTTAGACAGTCAGTCATTTTATGTTACTAAAACCAGTGTTTTTTTCTATATTAGTCCTAACAGTAACACTTTAAACCTCCAAGACTAAATATGTACAGTTGTATGCAAACATTTTGGCCAGAGCACATATGTTGTTGAGTTTTTAAGTGAAATGGAGTAAACACTCTGCAGCAAAGTAGGCCTTCTGGCTGATATCACAACTTGCAGATATTTCTTTTAGCCAGCTAGGAGTCTTTTCTTTCTTTTTTTCTTTTCCTGTTTAAGGAATTTCCACCCATTTCTTCTTGCAGAACAAAGAAGAAATTCTTTCTGAAATTCTTGGGTCTAATATTCTGAAGATATCCTTTATGATCTACCCACAGGTTTTCAATAATTTTCAAGTGAGGGGAACATGAGGGAAACTCCAAAAGCTTTAGTGTGATTTTCTTGAAGTAGTTCTTGGTTCTTTTGAGTTGTTGTGGATCATTGTCCTGTGGTAGAAGCCAGCTGTTTTTTAGCTTTAGATCCTTGACTGACTGTGTCACATTTGCTTCCAGAATTTGTGGACATTTAGTGGAATCCACTCTTTCATTTACCTACTCAGTGTTAGCTGTGCCACTGGCTGACACACTAACCTAAAACCTAACAAATCCATCCTAATGCTTTACAGTAGGCACTGTGTTCTTTTCATCAAATGCTGCCCCCTTTTTGCCTACAACATACTTTTGGTGATTGTGGCCAAAGAGTTCAATATTTACTTCATCAGCCCACAGCACTTGTTTCCAAAAATGCCTCTGATTTATCCAGATCTTGTTATGCATACTTTAGATGTTGACATTTGAGATTATGTCATCAGTAAGTTTTCCATGCAGATAATGTTTCTGCAAGCTAAACCTTCCTGAAGGTCATTTGTGGACATAAGGGGATTTACTTTCTGGCCAGCATATGAGCAGTTCCATCAAAGAATTTTCTTAGTCTTCCAGGTCTTGAATTGGCTTCCACAGTTCCCCATAACTGCCATTTCCTAATGACATTTGGACATTGCAAGCTGCAAGTGCTTTGGTAAATTTCATAGGTAGAAGTTGCTAAGCTAAAGGTATACTACTACTGACAGGAAAATAGTAAGGTAACTTTGCCCTCCGAAGCCTGATGCTAATATTATAATATTAATAGTGACAAAATCTGTGACATGGTATATACTATTGTGTGCTATTCAGTAAAGTGGTAAGATGACCCCTTTAAAATGTAGATAAGGTTAAACATAGCATACTGTAAAATGTACTTAGACTAGTAGTTTAGTTTAATCTAACTCGGGTGCTTCTCAGCACTATTTCAGTATATGTTTTATTATTTTGATATTTTATTATCATAAAACTCATAATAACTCTTAGGCCAGTGCTTGAAGTTACTAAAACCCCTAGAAGTCTATGCTATACTATTTTGTGAATTCTATCCTTCAAGATTCTATTAAAATTATATACTCAGTAATGAATCACATTTATGTTAAATTTACATTCAAAGAGTAACGTTTACAATTGATTTACATACTATTCTGATACTTTGAACTTTTTTCTTTGTTTTTATGTAAAGAAATGTAAAGCAAAAAAATGTAAAGGTTGGTTTATCTTTCCTAAAACATGCCTAAACGTACCATAATAACTTCTAATCAAATTCAAATAATGAAAAAAACTCTTTCTTTTGTGGTTTAGCAGATTCAACAGAATTTCTCTGCTGTATCAAAAAGGTAAATGTAAAAATGTATAAACAGGCTGTTCCAAGCAAACACAGCTTTGCCCGAAAGTCTTAAGCAGCCAAAAAAACAGTATAAATATCTGTTCTATGCGCTGCAGACATGCATGGAAATTCCTTCAGCAGCACGTCTGATTTAATTTAATAGAGGATTAAAGAGCTGAACTGGGTATTGGATGGTAGCTGTGGAATTACAATGCATTGTGTATTTGCTTATTGCACCTAAGACTTTTACACAGTGCTGTCATCTGGAGGGTTTGTGTGTTGAGTCACATATTCTGATTCTTTCACCCATAGTACCGTTTGCGATGACCTCCACAGAGCTCTCGAAGCTGACTTGCTGCTTTGTCTTTTGGGTCTGGAGGTAGAAAGGTTGTTTTCTCTCAGTTTGACTGTTACATTTGTCACAGGTGAAAAGTTTCGCTCCAAAGGGTCAGCTTCAGGGGCCACAGGGGACAGCTGTTCTGTCACTGGCTGTTCTACATTCTGTAGCTTCCTTATGGTGCGCATTAGGGACCTGTACCTGGAAGAGGTAGAGGGTATTAAACTGTTTGTATGTCACATATTGCATATCTTGTAAAGTCAAAATTGTTGGCAAAGCTCATGATGTAGCTTCAACCATTTGGAGGCAAACTCACTTTTTCAGCCACATTAAGGCCATTCCAGTGATGAGAATTATGAAGACAGATGCAGTTACGATTATGTAGAGCATCATATCAGGCATATCTGGAAAAAAGAATGATCTTAATAATGACACTGCAATGCATGCCTACTTCATGCTATTTTTAGCTTCTTTCCATCCCATGGGTCATTGACAGTAACAATGGAAAGTTCCATACTACCTTTCTCACCAAATTTCTCATTTGATTCATTCTTCTTAACTGTTGTGCAGTTAACGACTGCCATGCCAGTAGTCTGCACTTGTATATGGACCTATAAGAAAAGAAAGGAAAAGAAAAAAGAAAAGAAAAGAAAAGAAAAGAAAAGAAAAGAAAAGAAAAGAAAATGGAAACTTTATCTTTGAGGAATATTAAAGGGCATTATACAGGGTTTATACATGTAATGTCTGTCCATAAAGAATTATAGACAGACATTACATGTATAAACACTGTATAATGGGCAAGTTAAACAAAAGTTATTAGCTGACATATCTTATCTTTTTTAAAGAGCCCATTTCATGGAAAAACAGATCCCCCTTGCTTTTTTAAGTAAAGGTGAAGTGATATGTAAACATTGTTATTGTTTTAAAAGATACCCCTTAATACCCAGTTCATGGTCCAAAAATTGCCTGTTTTGAATTCATTGTTTCTGTGATGTCACCAGAACCAGCTCATTTACATACATACATCTATTCTGTATACATCTATAGTGGTTTAGCCCCATCCATCCATACTGAAAGTGTAAAGAGTGTTTCAGCTTTTTAAATGAGCCACAATATAACACAGCCAGTCAGAACAGAGCTCATTTATCTTATCTATATCTATATCAGTCTTAAAGGCACATAAATAAAAACAGCCTGTTTAGTTCTGTGGGATAAGGTTGAGGTTGGAAAACGATCATGTAAAAATGAATTTCAATCATTGAAAAAACAGAACACAAGAAAAATGTAGGATATTACGGAGAGGCCATGAGGTAGTTATAATTTCCTGGAATGCTATCTTGAGTTAATTATCTTGTGATCTCAAGATAACAAAGTTGTTATCTTCAGATAACCAGTTAACTCTCTTGTGATCTCAAGATAACAAAGTTGTTATCTTCAGATAACCAGTTAACTCTCTTGTGATCTCAAGATAACAAAGTTGTTATCTTGAGATCACTAAACAACTCATTATCTCAAAATAACAGTCCAGAAAATTATATCTACCTGATGGCCTCTCCAGACTTCCGTAGGAAATGTGTTCTTTGAGTTTTAAAAGTTCAAGTTTCTCAACTGCCATCACTCAAAATTTTTGAAAAATGGTTTTAAAAACTGATAAAAAAGCACTTCATATTTATTTTATTTTATCTTCTCCAGAACTGAACCTAATAGTAACTAATGCAAATGTAAATCTGCCTCAACCATTAATTCTATAATTTAACATTACCTAAAGTTACAAAAATGTTGGTGAATCTACTCCAAATATGTAGGGAACTAGGCTAACAAACAGTCTGCTAAAGTTTGTTAGGCTATAGCCATATAACCACTGACAGAATACGCCACACCATGTTGAATACTTTTATATATTGTTCACTTATTTGTATGTATAAATTTTCTTATTTTGTTGTTTTCATGTTGATTGTATGTTAACTACAGAAAATCACTAAACATTTATTAACAAAAAATAAAAAATACATCATATATGTTTTTTTATATCTCCATTGTATTTTTTTAAACATCATTTGAACACAACAGCTGTCCTTTACATTGTGTGAACATTTCATGACAACATCCTGATTTCTTTATAGTGGTGGTGATAGGAACAGGGGGTCACAATGTCTACAATGCAAAAATGGCCATTTTATTTACTATCCAAAAGTACCAGTGAACCTACACTATGGAGAAGAATTTTTTGCAATCACTACGGTAAAAAAATGTGAAATGCAATGCAAACATTACGTTACTTTTTCATAGTGACGTGAAATACATGCCAAAATGAAAATCAAAACCTCTATTACATTATTTCCACATTGTGTTCCCCCAATCCTGATCCTGGAGATCTACCACCCTGCATAGTTTAGCTCCAGACCTATTCAAACACACTTGATCCAGGTAATGAAGGCCTTCAGTGGCATCTGAGTATTAGGGCCTGGTGGGTTGGATCTGAGCTCTCCAGGGTGGAAGATGTCCAGGACCAGGATTGGGCACCACTGTCTTTACTGAATATTACACATGAGGATTTGCATTCAAAAAACTAAGTGCTGAATTTGTGTCAGAACTGAATATAATCAATATAATGTAATCAGCACACAGCTATATTGCTACAGAGCCCCTTTATGCCATTACATAGATATTTGCAATGAAATTATATTTCCTCACAAACATTTTGCATTCCGTTGCAAAACGTATCGTATTTGCAAGGGAACATAAAATCATTATCTTTTTGTCTACAGGCTCTGTAAACAACTCTTTAAACAGCACTGAAACAATGTTATGGATCTTTTCCCTTTTATTTTGGCACATTTTCTGCATGTCACTGTTTAGCCATTTTTGCATATATGCCATATTTATGTTTATTCCCTGTAGAGGAGTGTTAACTTATTCTCACTTAGAAGCAACAAAACATGCTTTTACAGCAGGTATTCAAACTTCTGCATACTGCTGTATTTTTAAGTATTGCATGGTGGAAAGCAGTAAAGTATCAGCGGTGTTGGTTGGGCATGTAGAGATAGTATCCTAGAACTGTTTTAGGATTTTTTTTAATTAACCTGTAAAATATGCAGCTGCTACTTTTTTACTTAATATAGAGATTTACACATCAACAAAATGTGCATACCTTCAGCATTGCTATTGCGTCTTATACACAAAATCATAAACAAAAGGAAAATAAGAAACCTTTGCAACAGAAAGTGAAAAAAAGGTCAAAAACAGAGATGTTTCCTCAATAATGACATTATTAAGTCCTCTGCACATTTCCGCTCTCTCAGCATCAACCAGCTCATCCACACGTCTCCCCTCTAACGTCCTGCTAACACCGAAACACTGTATCTATAGTTTTAGGTATTTTACAAACTGAATAATCTTTCAGTGGAACTCTTCTTGTTTAAAACCAAAAAAGAAACAATATTTAAAATATATTGTTTGTGGTCTGCAAATACAAAATATTAGATAAACATTTTTAACATAAAACATCAGACTCATGATTTTTTATGTACACTGTAAAAACTAATGTGGAGTTTTAACTTAAAAACGTAAGTAACCTGGCTGCCTTAAAATCTTTATTTATTGTACTTTGATTAATGAGTCTGATACCACCTGATACCATGTAATGTAAGCTTAGTGTACGCTAATAAACAAACAGCTCAAGCTGGCAGTGAACGAGGGTCTGTTGCACAGTGAAATGTTGCAGACCCCTTGAGAGTCGGATGCAAAGCTACTGGTCCCTTTAAACTGTTTCAGAGTGTTTTAAACACACACAAACACAATCACAAACACTTCCCCGAAATGGTTGGAGACACGTAGGCCAGCTAAATGGAGGAGAAATAGTCAACATTTGCAGTTTTAAGGTTTTTAAAAAGACTAAAGACTTTACTCTGTTTGACTGAGAATTGAAGTATAAAAAACAGTATAAACTTTAATAATCTCTAAAGTAAATTTGATCTTTTTATACGTGTCTTTGTAAAATAGGCTGTAGAGCGATGGCAGTGTCCTATTGAGCGTTTGCTCAATACGCTATGTTATTTTGAATGAAACAGCTTTAGGTGGGGATTCACCAAGCATGTTAATTGGACAGAGCATTTTCATACAGTGTGAGTATATAAATCATAGGCTTTTCTATACACAATGGCTTATTCAAACATACAGTGTAAGTCACCAAAGAACAAGATTTCTAATATCATATAGTGGTTTTGTGGCTTTAGGGGACAACTACAGCTCAACCAGCCAATCAAAAGACTCCAACAAGACGTAAAACTCAACATGTGAGCTCCTCACATGCAGGAGCCTTGGATGTAATTTCTGCTGTTACTAGGCTACAGAGACTGTTGCTGAAAGAGACAGGTGATGATCAAAACTATGAAATGTACTTTACTTACAGCTGTACAGAAGTGCTTTTCTTAGAACAAAACTTCTCCAATGCAGCGCTACTCGATCAAAGGTATTTAATGTAGCATAGCTAGCTAATGTACATCATTTAAAATCAGCTAGATTTTAATGATTGAACTGTTAAGGTAGCCTGCATAGCACTCATTCACACTAAAAACTTCTTAATTCTAAGTACTCGGTGTGTAATGTTATTGGTATCAGCAAGTACTAAAAATGTGTACTCGTACTCTGTCTGCAAAAAATGGTATTGATGCATCCCTACAATATAGCTGTGATTACATTTCAAGGTTGACTGTATTCAATGCGTACATCAGTTCAGCATTCTGTTTTTAAACGCTTATCCTCATGATTTTTTTTCAGTGAAGAGGTGAAACAAAGTAAGTAAAGAGGAATTGCTTTTCATTTTGACACACATTCTTCATGACACTATGGAAAAGTCATGTCATGTGTTTTCCCACTCTAGTGACTGTATTTAAATTTCTGTCAATATACTTCTGAGTTATTATATGTGCTGTTGTTAAAGATAAAATAGAGGTCGATTTTTAACATTGGTAAAAAAGTGATACCTTGCCACCATGAATGGATTTTAAAAAGTACTTCAATCTGTAACCTTCTCTCAAAACTATTCTAAAACAGTGTTTCAGAGACAAAGCAGCATATTCATAATCATTTCATGTTACAGACTTTCTGGGAAAGCACTTTCAGAGACATTAGGCTGTTCAGACGTCCGGTTCCTCTCACCACCACTGTGAATGATGCAGACTCTCTAGAACAGAGCATTTCGCATCAAACCACTCTGAAAGACGGTGTTTCCATCTTAACCATTTAATTCTGCAGAATTTTTGATAAACTGGTGAATTTCCCTAAATATATACAGGAATTATCCAACAAATGGGAACCAAAACCTCGCCCTTCGAGTGTTCACCGTGCAATACTATTAATACTATTATTACTAATAATATAATAGAAATATTAACTATCTGAACTATCTAGATACTATCTGAGCCAATTCTCAGCACTAGGTCACATTATTTTGATACAGGCTAACATTTTTCACCTGCATCCTTCAACATTACGAGACTGCAGAAGAGTCACAATACTGTCATGATTTTTAAGGGAAAGCAGCAGTCCTAGACATTCAATGTACTGCTTTTAATAAGAGAAGAAAACCCACTTACTTAGAAAGATGATGATTAGCTCTGGTGTTCTATCATGGTCGTGAGTCATCTCACTCTGTGGTGAACTCAGGAGATAAGTTCTACTAAAGAAAAGGGGGCTGTCATTTCCTCTTGTGATGTCTATGTAAAGTGTTGCACAAGTTGCATCCAGTGTTTTAGCAGGTCAGCAAAGCTTAAAGCCCACTTTGGTTGTGGCTTCCTGTCAAAAAACAAAACCAAAAAAGAAACAAATAATACCCACACAACCTCATGCTGCTATGACAGTTCCCCAGTTGACTATTTTGACTCTGAAGCCTAACAGTTGTTGTCCATGATAAAGTGAAAGCAACAGAAATGTGTAGGTTTTTTACTGCATATATCCCCCCAAAAACGTCGCATCCAAAGCCCACTAACAGAAACTGAGATTGCACACAGACTTGATAAAAGGAGGATAACAGGGCTAGTTTCTCTCACAAATGTTACTAGAATGTCAAATACACATAGACCACCGGTTCAAAAGGTAACCTTTAGCCTTTAAAAGCAGACGGCAAAGGAGGGGCACAATAGTTTCTTTTCCTGTCAGTTAAAACATCACATACGTTAACATTGTGCACACTTTTTTCCATCTTGCCATTTTAACAGTGGTCAAGTTGTGTAAAGTGTGAAGTAAGTGCTCTGATGACACCAATAAAATGATGTGAGAATACATGGTTTACTCACAGGAGGCCTAAGAGTTGTGGTTGCAAAAGCCACATATGCTTCTTTATTTGTCTAATGACACTGTAATGGAACATGGGGTGTGACCTTTTTAACCTTTATATAAAATATGATATTTAACAATATGTAATCATTATGTAAAAGGCCTTACAAGAGAAAAAAGGGAAATAAAGAGATTAGAAAGAAAAACAAACAAGCAAAACAAAAAAAGAAACAGCAACAACACACAACACAACACAACAAGGCAGTCATTGATAAATGTTTAAATGTAGTGCACAGTATAGGATTATTGTCTTTAATAATACGCCTCTACCAGCGTATGCTGATTTACTTCTAGGGACATGGGCTTAGTTGGAATTCCATATACCATAAACCTTTAAATATTAAAGATTGCAGGCCGGCTCTGAAAACTTGTCTTACTATCTGGGCATATCAATCTAAGCAATTAGAGGACACCACCGGGACACAAAACCACAAATGTCAAATTGTCGTTTTGCAGTTATTTTGGCCATTAAAAAATAAGCATTTAACCTTCTCTAGCCGTTGGCTTATGGTTGGTGTCTGTGGTTAAAGCCAGGACATTGTAATCACTAAGAATGTAAGTCGCTTTTTTGTCCCAGGCTCCCTGAGGGATAACCCCAATAATATACATCATATTAGTGGTTAGTGGTGATCTCATCTGCAAGTTTAGTGCTTCTGTATGTGCCTTTGTGCCTTGATGTTTAATAAAGATCACTTCTTGTTGTGGAGATGATGGGCTCCTCTGTATCTTAGTCTTTGTCAGAAGTGGGACGGCACCCCATCAGCAGTCTGGAGTGGAACTGTGTGCCATGTGAGCGGACACGTGGGGGCTCACATAATGTTGTTTAAATGTCATGGTTTCTCAGCGTAAAGGCGTGATGTGTGTATTTGTGGGTGTTTGTGGTGGGAGATGGTCACTGTAAGGGTGACCTCGCCCATGAATTCAGTGCTTCTGTACGTGCCTTTCTGTTTATGTGCCTTAGTGTTTAATAAAGAGCATTTCTCATGGTGGAAGTCATGGCCTCTCCTGTCTTATTCTACACTGATGCCACAACATTTACAAAGGCATACAATTCCTTACAAATACTGTCCCAGTATGGCTTTAGTTTCCCTCCAGCACAGTTGTTTTGTATTATATTTAGATATGACCAAAGGTGTTTTAAAGTATCTCATTTTGTTTTAAAGTAACTCTTTTCATGCTGAGCTACTGATCTCTTTATGTCCTTTCTCACACAGTTCTTTCCAAGTTTCATATTCAATTCCAAGGTGCCTTCCGAAGAAGATAATTGTAAACAGTGGTATAACTGTGACATAGGTTTCTTTTGGTTAGCGCATTTAAATAGTCATTTAGTCACTTACTCAATGACTCAAATAGTCATTTAGTCATTCAAAGACATAACACTCTTGAAGTCAACCTGATAAAAAAAAAACATACCTTTTTGTACTTTTTAAATTCATTTTCATCACAATTCATCATATCATACTACTTAAAAGACAAGATGCTAATTTTCCCAAATTTATGACTGAAGTAATGACATTTCCTTGCCTCAAAAACATCTTTCTCGCATAACTACATTCCCAACCAGTGGGGAAAATAACCTTAACCAATAATATGTTGTTTCACCTCCCCTTCCACCACTCCCTCCTATCACTGAGCTAAAATATCAGCTGGATTAAAGACCCTCCCTGATACCATGTTTCACTCAGAAATATATCATGATGCAGAAGGAAAAATTTAAATGTTAAATTTAAAAATAAATGCAATGTGTTATTGGTATAGAACCTTTACAGTAAACGGTTCTTCTCCCTCACACATCCATTTACCAAAACAGTTTTTCAAAGAAAAGTTTAGGGAATCAAAAGTGGTTCTTCGAAGGCATCACTCCAGAGAAAGCTTTTTAGCATGTTCATCTTTAGTGATGGCATGATTCACCTTTCCACCAGTCAGAACCAATGAAAACTTACTGCTGGTATAGCATAGTGGCTAACGGCAGATCTTTAAGCAGAAGACAGGGGTTTGATTCCCCGCCCGGGGAAGCACACCATGCTACACCAGTTAAGCTTGGGGCTTTCAGATGACACCTTTTCTCTTGAACATGCTCTTTAATCAAAGAGCACCATGTGCACAGCAGCTGAAAAGCTCTTCTCTAGACATGCATTTATGTTGAAAAACATCCAAATTTTCTGCTGAGAGCCATGAAAAAGCACCACACATCATCACAGCTGACCAATCAATATTAAGGACGACTGGTCTCTAGCCTGTCACTCATCCAACTTGAAGGAAAAGCTAGGGTGTTTTTGAACATGCAGAGCTGCACAACACTCAACACAAATCTGAACATAACAAAGAATTTGCTGTATATTAGTACATACAGTTGTATGCAAAAGTTTAGGCACCCCTGATGGAATTACCTGTTTTGTTGATCTCGTAAGTGAAAACAAGTAAACATCCTCTAGAGGCAACACACTTCTGCACATTTTCATGCACAACTACTGTTCATTTGCTTAATTTAACATATTGGAAGAAATAAAACGTTAATATCTTGCTGCTGATGGGACGAAAACTCTCCATTTTTGCCGTTTGTCAGTTTTCAACATAATTTGATAATGCCTGTTGTCCTTCACATTATGTGTAAATTACGTGATGAATGGACCAAAAGAAATGGCCCAAAATTTCATGGAAAGTGCCTTGCTGAAAGTCTGGTTCCATTGACTTACATTAAAAGTAAAGTAGGTTTTTGCCTTTACCTGTAAAGTTACCATTTTGGAGATAGAAGGTTTTGTTCTGAAAACAGCAATATATATTTTAACTTACACATTTTCTACTTATATATACTTTTTCGGTATATTAAACGAAGCGGAAATTATGCACTAAAATTGGCAGAAAACTGACATATTTAATTTTGCTCTCTGTAGAAGAAGTGTTAACAAATTTTCACTCAGAAAAGCAACAAAACACATCATCTGAACAAAATTCAAACCTTTGCATGTGTATGTGTGTCATTTTTAAGTGTTCATCAATGATCTCAGTCCTCTGTTTTCTCACAAACCGCATTAACCCGCCACCTATAAAGCACACTCACTTTTCTGAGTGCCTTGTGTTTATTAAAGCATCATCCCAACATCCCTTAATGCTACATTCACCTTCCTATGTAACATGATTTATTTGTTGGTTGCGCTGAAAATGAGCATTTGCCCAATGCATAAATGTAGACTTGAGCTGGGCCTAATCAACGTGCTAAAACCTTCTATTCATCTTTGACCTGCACACTAATTAACACTGCTTTACTTCATATTCAGTACATATTTTAATATTTCACATTCCAGTACACATATTTTCAAAAATGCTATGTACACAATCTTCGTCTTTTAAGAAGCCAAATCAGTGCAAATCATTTGATCTCGGTACAACTTTACGAGGGATTACATTAAACACTTTAATACGGACAAATGAACAAAAGTTTACAGTTAATATAAAAAAGAGCATTTCAGTAGTAGATTATGAACGTAACAAAAGAGGCCTGATTAGGAGACTACAGTGGCTCTCAGCTGAGAGCCAAGAGAAGGAATAACCAAGAACCGGTACAGACAAGGAAAAGACACTGCTAACTGATTAGCATTACTAGCCAAGTCCGGATTACCACTCAGCATAATGCAAGAGACAATCAGAGACACTATAAGAGGGCTGGGGTTCCACATTTGGATAATATTTAATACTATTTAGACAAGGTTTACTAATCTTCAAGTTAAATATGTCATAGTGGCACAATGTAACAAGATCAAAACAATACTAATCATTGTACTTGCTTAACTCGCTGCTGTGTGACTGACTTCTCTGGGCATAGAGATATTAACATTAATATTACAGCACAAAGATACAGGTCCACGCTGTAAAACGCTTCATATTTAGCCATAGACAGCTGATAAGTGGAAGAGAGTCCAACCCTTTACATATGAATTCTTTTTTGTATGTTTTCTTTTGCAATCTACGAATAAATAAAGTGCTCAGACATTTCCTCTGTGACATGCTGACACAATTTACAATTCCGGTATCCTGAGCGAAGACGATGATGACAGTACAATGGCACAAACTCTACTACAGGACTTGTTGGCACAGAGAAAACTGCTTGAGTCACAGAAAAAAAAGCATTATGGTTATGTCATATGCTAAACTGACACACTCTGTAAACAAGCGTGGAATGACATTCAACATGTAGATAGAATGTTTAGCCAAAATGTGCAACATCGCAGAATGGGACCATAAAATGACAGCAACTTAAAGCATAAAAGTGCATCCAGTATTCATAACATCTTACAACAAAGATAAAATGCTTACAATCCTCCACTCCTCTTTACAAAGAAATGTGTAATGATCAAACATATGTAATCTACATAACAAAATATCCATGATCAGGATAGCACTGAAAATTAAATCATACTAGCATGATCAATGCCACAAAGTATTCCGAAGATTCTAAACAATAAATAGGACTAGTACCAACCGCATCTTGTCTATACATACTGATGCTAATGACTGTTTCTTGTCACGCATGGTTCGTACAGTATGTGACCGGCACTTACTAAATTCTTCTGTACACAGAATCACGAGAGGTCAACACAAACAAATTAAAACCTTGTGTGAGAAGGACAAACGAGACTGTCAGGAGAACCGATGCATTCTTGAACTGTCAGAGATTGTAAGCCTGAAATAATGGGACAGTACCACAGTTTGGCTAAAATTAACAAAAAAAGGGGGGCGGGGGGGGTTCCTCTCAATCTGAGAGACTTCATCTTTTGAGAGTTCATTTCTCAGACGCTGACAAGAGCACAGGCATCACTGAAGAACACAGTACTTCTTGTAGTCTGTTTCAAAATCCTCATCCATGCTGCTGGTGTCAGCCATCTTTTTCCCATCAGTCTTTGGCATGAACAGAGAGTAATCTATTCCCTGCTGCTCATAGAAGAGGATGTATGCTGAATCTGTGTCGATCTCTTCTGGATTCACCTCCTGCACACATTAAACACACAAACACATTCACAATGACTCGTACAGCTGAAGTTACTATAAATATATGAAAGAGGTTTGCCATTGGATGTCTCAGTGTGAGAGGACTTACCTTGCAGCTGCTGTCATTGTAGCAGTACCATTTCTCGTTGGGGTTTTTGGCATATGTGACATAATGGCCTCCTCCAAGTATCCCTGAGTGACACTGAAAACATGGAAGCAATAATTACTTGAGGAATGAAAAAAGGCATAACATGTCTGAAGCATTTTCATAGCCCTTTATTATCAAGATTTCCAACTTCAAAGCATCATTAGGTGTCTGTGCAAAATGACTTATTTCCAAAAACTTTAATTTTTTTTTTACAAAATTAGTTCAGTTAGCTCAGTTTTTACAATGCCACAATCTCTCTGCATTCTGGCCCAACCAATTTATCGCACTGTCCATAAAATTGGCTGATATTATGATTCCATGGTTTAAAGATCAAAAGATCAGCAAAAATCCTGCCAATAAAGCACTAATATTGTTTCTAACAAAGATGTGCCAAATCTTTAGCCACTGAAAGTTTTCGGCCAAAAAACAAACGTTATTGGTGGCTAAAATGTGCATCCCTAGAGAAAAACAGACCAAAAAAAGTTGAAATATGTCTACAGTGAAGTGTCAAAATGTAATGTTTAACAAATCATTTTAATGATAATGAAAATGGTGATTAAAAATGATGTTGGTTTCTTTCACTCTCCAGCGCTGATCAGCACAGACAAACTCAAATGGTTTGAGCAGCAGCAGCTAAACCATGAAAATGTCAGCTGTGTAGAAATCTCTTGTGCTTTGGTTTCAATAAAGGATATTAAACAGGTGATTTGTAATCACTGTTCATGCTAAATACCAAAAGAGAGATAAACAGGTTGATACCACTTAAAAACACGACATCCCACTCGACAAGAAGAAAATGGCGAAACAACCGAAGCAAAAAGGAAAGTCCCTGTGAGCACGCCGCCATCTGTAGCCACAGTTTTTAAAATGATGAAAAGATTCACAAATGACAGAGCCAAAATACAAGGCATAACTAAAAAATATTAGCAGATAAATGCTCAAACAAATTATAGCCATAGGACAGGTGATTAGATTTGACCAATATTTTGGGAAACGTAAACTGTGAAGGCTAGTGAGACAGAGAGATGGAGAAAACCTCCAAAAGGCGTGGTGGGGGTGTGTGAAAATGTGCATGATAATGGAAACAGGAAGACAGTTGAACACCACGCAGAAAATGAAAAAAATTACACAATTTGTTTGGACAGAGTGAGGAACCACAGGACCACAGTGCAGAAGGGGTACATTCCGAGCCTGTGACACCTGTGCTTAGTTAGTTATACTTAGTTAGTTTATTCAGTCTACTTGTAAACGGAGGCTACAGATGGTTAGCTATCTAAGTCTGGCTAATTAATTAGCTAAGTAGACACTCCAGTGGTGGAGTCGCTGTGAGTGTAGTGTGGTGTCATTGCAGTCTAGAGTCAGTGCAATGCAGAAAAATGTCCAAGGCTGAGATTTGTTCCCAGCCCAGGACTGCATTTCAGTACATCGCTACTGTTTTGAACAATAACCAAATATACAGATGGACACTAAGCTTTTGTTTTGTAATTGTATTATTTGAGTTTGTAAGTTTCTGCTGTTCAATTGTGTTTAAGAACTTTAAGAAGCCATATCATTCAGTAAAGTATTGCTGAACTTTAATTTTTGACCATTTAAAAAATGTATCAGTTGATATTATAGGTTACTAAAATGTTTTTTATCCACGAGCTGTTAAACTGGTCACAACATGAACACACACAATATGGACTGTTACTAAACTAACTCTGCCCTCCCAGTTTACTCAACATATCTATACACTGAACTCACTAGCTCACAGGACTGTATGCACATTGCACTTTAACTGGAATTCTGTATATATGAATATTTAAGCTTTACACTCTCTATACTTGAACATTTATGCTGCAAGCTGTACACTTGAAAATTAAGATGCTATTGCTCATTTACCTGCACTGTTTACTTTGGGAATATGACAACTGTGATGCTGTGCTTACACTGTGTTAACAATACGTACTACATTTAGACACTTGACCTGGTTTACCTCCACATACTGTACACTTCCAATTAATACACAATAAAACCCCTAAGCTGCAATCTGTAAAGTTTACTGAAGACTGTGGTTGTAGTTTATTGTCTTCTTTTGTTGTGAAGAAGAGCTACAGTGTTTTCATAACACCCCCAAATCAGAATCAAACCTAATGAGCATCTCTGTCCATCATCACATCAACCTAATACATCAAAACCGTACGCACCTATTCTGTATGCACCTTTTATCTTTGTATTTCTGTCTATATCTTCTGTTTGTCAGTAGCCTGAGAATGTTTTGATATACCATACAACCCTGTATTGGTGAAATGACAATTAAGTTGAACTGAATTGAGGCTGTGACAAAATCAGGCCCTAGTCACATTTTAGAGGAAGGGAATTTTAGACTCTGCAAAGCCAAAGGCAATACAAACAGTATGAAAATACAAGGTAGGAACACTCACCGATATTGCATACAGGTCATAGATAGGCTCCAGGCAGATCCTGTCTCTTTGGTCCTGTGAGGCCTCCAGGTCTATGCTGTCTTCAGTGCAGCCGTTGCTCTCCAGTTCTGAAACAGACGTGGCGTTGTCACAGTCTCTGCCTGTGTCCTCACCCAGTGCTGAGTCCAGGCCAGTGGCTTCAGCCTCACTCTGGGTGTCAGGCTTAGTGCTACAGGGCTCCAGCTCCAGAGGGCTCTCTGTGCCGCTGTCCAGGCTTTCTTTACTGAGGGACAGCTGCAGCCTGGAATCCAGCCGGGATGCTCGCTTGTGCCCCTGCTTTCGGCTGTCGCCTCTGGGGCTGCTGGTGGGGCTGCCGCCTCTGCTGAGAGACGTGGACAGCAACCTTCCAGAACCTGGAGAGTCTATGTAGTACAAACACACACACACATACACACACACACACACACACACACACACACACACACACAACACACACATACATACACATACACAATATTCTAAACAATTACAAAATTCAAAATCACAGCTGCTGATCAAAAACTTTATTCCACTTTTCTCATTCCCAATCTGAGTGGACAGGACATGGAATTCAGCTTTAACTGAATAAATGCCCAAAATACAGTGCAAAATGGATCGTTTGGCCAAATGTATAGTTCACACAATTTCACCCTTAGCCCAAATGTAGCTGATCAGCATTTGGTGTCAAAAGTTTGCTTCTTTAGTTTTGTACTGATGCTATGAGGCTAATGTAGCTAACAAGTAATGGAAGTGTATAGCCACCAGTTTAGCATGTTCAAATCAACACACTTGCCTCAAACAACTGTTTTTAAGTAATCCTAAATAGACTTTTGTGGTTTATGACATTGTATAACATGGTATTAACTACAATGGACAAAAATATAGACAAAGCTTCAAGATGGCTGCTACTATTGTTTTGGTAACATACTTTTGTTTAAGTAAAAGAGAAAATTTGATTGTTGCCCAAATCATGATGTTAATGTACTACATGTTTACATGGTTAAAGACTGACCTTTCATGCTACTAAAGGTGGAGTTTGAGTATGTCTCTCCTGTTCCAGAGTTTGACAAGCGTTCCTGTTCAGACAGCTCCTCTCCCGAACAGCCTCTCCAACCCTGCTGGCTGTGGTCTGCATCCCGCGGGGTCAAAAACGCACTGGGGTCAAAGTTATCCCTGGGGAACCTCACGATTTTCTGAGATTTAATCCAGCGTCCGTTAACAAACTGGAACCGCTTCAAATGCACAATCTGTACCAGAGAACACCAACAGACAAGTTTAATTGCACTACAACAGTTTTGCAGCTAACAATGGAAGAGAATTAGATTTCAGATATTTACTCACAGCCTGCAATGTAAAACATATTGTCATTAAATGTCTTATTTTTGTTGGGGTCTGTGAGAAAGTGCAGTATTGGTACCAGTATTGGTGGGAGTCTCCAGATGTCCAGCTTCTTGGTTGCCAGGCGATGGGTCTTGCACTTGGAGCAGTAGTAGAGCTCATTTTCGCCCAGTTCTTCCTCTGTGGTGAAGGCCCGCAGGCAACTATCCAGACTAATGGGCTCGGCTTGTGCACGGCGACTCAGCTCTACACTCACATGCTCATCCACCAGCTGCAGGACAGCGAGGCACAGAACTTACTGTACAGGACTTATTACTTATACCTACAGTCTACAGAGTACTTCTAACTCTGTATGTAGCAGTACAAGTATAGAAATAGTCTGGCAAAAAATGTAATTTACATGCATTTCATCAAATGCAGTTTATTAGTCAAATGAAGTGTGGTGTTTGAAGCTACGAAGGTATCTAACAAGTAATGAAGCTTATATTGCACAGATGTGCAGCATGTCTAGCTAAATTCAGACTCCAGAGCTTGCTAAAAAAGAATGAAGCTGTTCTAGACTGGTGTTCAGGTCTTACCCTCTCTTGGGATGTCTGATAGCGGAGGTGCAAAGCAGTAGGGTCCCAGTCAACTGCTATGCAAACGTTGCCTACTGCAGCCCTGTCATCATTACACTCTATGGTACAACCTCTGCAAAACCTGAGGGCAGGAGACAGAGGTTCAGAACTTTTCTTATTAAAAGGTACAGTCCACCTCAGTCCAATAAAAAACAGTAGTATATAATGAATTCCAAAGCATCCATTCATACCTGTACCATGGACACCATGCACAAGAGTTCCCATCTCCCTGTACAACACGTAGGGTGAAAGGGTACTGGTAGCCCAGGCTGTCATCACTAAAAAACAAAAAGACAATAACAAAAAAAGACAGTTTATCATATACTGTATACAGTATTCAATTTTAGAGTAATGACTTTGTTAACCACAAGCATAGAGAATTTGTGATTTTTTCTTGATTTATTCTAATGGATTTCAAATCACTTTGCCCTAACAGGAAGTGACGCTGACAAAACCAGAATGCTGCTATTATAATCAAGAAAGATGTCAACACCAGCGGCAATCACCAGAGCGCTGTGCAATGTGTTGTTTTTGACGGACGCACCATTTCTTTTTTTAACTTGTCACACAGCATTTTGCTGATGTTCCACCTCTACAGAAATAAATGAGCAGAAACTAATTCAGGAGAGAGCATAATAGGCTTCGCTCTCTCTCTCTTGGTGGGTAGGTTTGCCGTCCCTTTACTCCCATTTCCCAGTGTGATGCTTTCCAACATGGGCCTCTGACAGAACATAACTGTTAGTGACAGAACATAACAGTTAGTGTTCTCCTCCAAGCATGTTAAGCTATCAAACTACACTGCATTATCAGCAATTTGAAAAGATGTGGTGGTGCTTTATGTGTTCGGTAGCATTGTGTGATAGGGGGAGACCTAGCCAGTGGGTGGAACTAGATAAAAAAAAAAATCTTGACTTTAACAAATGGATTTACACTGACGGTACAGAAAGTTTGTTCATGTTTGGACTTGATACACAGGCTTGAAAGTTCCATTGCTGTCATCCTGAAGGCTTTGCAACACAATGCAATAATACATTTTGAACACTTGTCTGCTGTCAGAAGGCGTGGCACCTGCTTTCATTTTATATTGTTGTATCATTGTTGTATTAGAGTGGCTGAAGAACGCCAACTACCCTTCACTGATAACCTGTATGTGTCCAAACCACACAGCATAAAAACCTGTGATATGGCTACTACATAGCTGAGACACTGACCAGTCTTGGGCGTGGTTGCTTGACTCCTGAGGGGGTAGAGGACTGGCCAGACGGGACACTTGTGTCCACACAGTGTTGTACAAGTCTCGGCCACGTGTATCTACTGTGCAGGGAACGATCAGTGGCATGCCAAACAGACTGGGCCTGTTTTTCTGAGATGAGAGGAAGTACAACTCGGCACGCATCTGAAAAAAATGCAAAACAAAATCACAAAATAATCAGCAATTATGTTTTCTAAGGCCATATAAAATATACTGCATGCTTAGATTCCAACAACACTTAAAAATTCTTACAAATGTGTAGATTTGTGATGCATATCATTTTTAATTATGATTCTTTATTTTGTATATAATAAATATATTCAAATAAGACTTTAACAGTCAACTGCAGCTCTCACCATTTTCCGGTGGATGGCAATAATGTATCCAGAGAGGGGGCCAGCAGGGGGTGTCATGATGTGGCCATTAGGGAGGCCGTTGGCAGGGCTACCATCTGTGCTACAGGGCACCACAGTATTTGGCATGCCCTTGGGAATTATGTCAAGCCTTAGGGATGTACCACTGGAGACTGAAGGGCTGGTTCCATTTGCTACCTGTGGGAAGTCACCTATCAACATAATAAGCATCAAAATGATGTTAATGGGGCATTTTGGCCTAAAATTAGCATTTCATAGATTACTTTATATGTTATGTAATATTGTATTCAGCATATTCAAGACTTATTTGAATCATTTTCGTGTTCTCATCCAGCAGGATTCTCTCACTACAATACCCAGCATGCATTATGCAAATACACCACCCAATCATTGGCATTAGTGACATAGCACAAATCTCAACTGGTCATCAAACTTCTTCTTTGTGAACGGAATAATTTAGCCAGCTAGCGAAAAACAGTAGTATCCGACCCTTAACTCTTGTGGTCTTTTAAAAAATATACTTCCACCTTCAAGATACAAGGTTCCTTAGTCTTTAAACCAGGAAATCTTGCTTTAGAATCTGCTGCTGCACCGGAGTAAGAGGCAAGTATACATGTTTACAACAGATGTAGGGATGGTTACATTTTTCGTTTTGGCTGCAGGGTCCCCCTTTAAAAGGGGTTTTCTTCTCATATAAAAAGTTAACAGGTCAACAGGTTTTCGTATGCCAAAAGTGACAAAATGCTAAAGTGCAAATAAAGTTGTCCAAGGTTAAAGAAATCTTCCAGTCTCACCAGTTGCCACTTCTTTTGGAGAGAAGTCAGAGGAGGGGGATGCAGGCAGTGGGATTTCAAATGCACACAGGAAGCCACTTACTGCACGCCGCACTTTCTGATTATCTAATGGAAAATTCTAAAACAAAAACTCTCAGTCAGTTTGGGACACAAACAGCACAGCTTTAAGAAATTAGGCAGTATGTTATATAAGCACCTTTATAGAGGACAAATGGATCTCCACCAGCAGGATCTGCTCTGGCTTCAGATGGCACAGCTCACTGAGTAGGCTCTTTAGGCCAGCGTATTTCTCATCGACGTTGAGTCTCAGTCCGTACCGCACTGGCGTAGAGCCGTCGAGCCTTATAACTGCACACAGATACAGTTAGTTGAACACAGTGTAACAGAGTATACTGTATATATACTGTACATGTCTCACCACTAGTGGACGATATGACAAAAATATAATATCACAACACTGTAAACATTTTTACAATACACAATATTCACCACAATATTTAGTTTTCTGAGATTTGGTTGGAAAAGACAAAATAATATAATAATAATAATAATAATAATAAAAACTACACCTACAATGATTTTTAGTTAATGTTTTACAAACTGCACTAAATCCAATGAAACAGCCCTAATTATGGTCACTTTGTAATTGTGAGTGTGACATAACTTATCACAATTATGATCAAATATTGTCATATTGCCCACCCCTCTTTACCACTTTCATTTTTTAAACATTTCTTACCACTTTCATTTTGTCGTGCATTATTTAATCTATCTTCATGTGATCATGCTGTCATGAACTCACCTATAATCTCAAGGTGCATGGAGTTATCCATGGGCAGAGGAAGAGAAAGGAAGTTGAATGGGTCAAAGCGAGCACTAACATGGCCACAGGTTTTACACTTGACCTGAGACCTAAGCTGACCATGGAACAGGTCCACCACAATAGAACGGTTTCTTCTCAAATGATTCTCCCAGGCCTGAAAGGACACAGCAAAAAAAGAAAGAGCACTGAGTGCAATATAGGTATGAAAACACCACTATAGCAGAACAAATATACTGCAAAAAAATAATTAAGTGATTTACAGGAGAACTACTACTCAGTCACTTGAGTGATATTGATATTGATATGATCATGATATTATGCACAAAAAATCCTTTATATGTTTAATATGTTTGTTTGAGCATTTCAAGATTCCCACATTTGTTCTGTGCCATTTCAAAAGGTTTCCAAATTCCAATATCCCATTATCTTTGTATCATAATTTTAAACCTTCTTGTACAACATGGTCTATTTTTTTCTTTTATTACACTCTGCATTGATACCTGCAAAATTGTGGTATCGTAAAGCTGTGAAATTCTCACTGCTAAAGCTTGTGTAATAAGCAAAAGTGCTTGCACAAACACCTGGGGTTATGAAGTCACAGATTTATATTAGAACTAATTGCATCTGCTATGTAGGCAGCTCAACAACTTCACCACATGCTTGGAAAATATCTAGCTGGAAATATTTTATGCTGAAATTGATAAATTTACACGGGGGGAAGCATAATAAATAACTATAAAAAGACAAACCTCTGAGGCAACTTCCCAGTCAGGTCTGCCATCGCTGTCCTTCAGCTCCACATAAGGTTTGTCATGAACACGGTTCAGATCCTCATGAAGGCCATCTAACAGAAAGGCCAGCAGTTCTTGAGAGTCTTGCTGTTGAAAGCCATCGAAACGTGGAGCATACTTTGCTATAGTCCACTGAAAAATGAACAGAAGCAACATGTAAAAAGACTAAGTGTTGGGTCAACACAAAGTGGAAACATTGCAGCCTTTATTTCAAAGCTAATATTACTCCCGTAATAACACTCATACATTGTTACGTTAAAATAGTGCGGGCCCAAACAAATTGAATACTTGAGTAATCATTAGTTATGTTGGTATTTGTTTCTTTATTTAGTATTCAAAAGCTTTGTCTTTTCTTTACCCTTCAGACCCCGCCAGAACGGTAGAACACTTTTGTGGATTCCTGACAACAAGTAAGAGGCTCATTTATCACTGTTTTAAACAAAATATTTTATTATAATATCAAGAAAAATGGCTATTACTTAACGATGGATGGGCAGCCAAACTTCCTGTTTCTCTATGGTGTCTAGACCCTGATTAAGATGAGATCTTCGAGTGACATTTGCTATATCATTTTAAATAAGCTAGAGGATTATTATAATATGATCAGGAAACACTAAAAAAAAACACCTTACTAACTTTCCATCGATACTTACATAATAAGGAAAACTAGTATGCTTCAATCTGATTGTGAGAAAAGCTGTTTGGAGGCATACCCTGAGTTTGAGTGGAGCAACACTTTTCTGTGTACCACTCCATAATTCCTGGATCAGATCACCATAGCATTTTGCCATGTGTCCACGCATCCCAATAGGATTAGTTCTACAGGAGAGAGATTGAAATGGATACATTATGACACACTACAAACCTACAAAATTATAATAGAACATTTTTAAATAAACTAAAGTAAGGGAAGAGGCGTATTGGATTAACAAGAAAATACATTAATCCGATGGCCAACTTCAACTGATACATTCAACTGACATGCCTATGCTCTGCCCACAAATGCCTTCTTTAGTTGCAACTGTTGCAAGGTTGAACAAGCTTTACAGAACAATGAAAAAATCTCATTCAACTCAATGAGAAACTGTAGTAAACAACTTCTAAATTTCTGCCAGTTAATAACTTTAAATGATATCTACTTAGTATGCGTGTGAAAGGTCACACTGTTTAAACAGAAGTGGAATTTTTTTGTCTAAATTTTACACTTTCAAGACTAGGAAAACTACACTTTCTTTGGAGTAGATTTATGAAAGTGAATATGAAGTTTGCATACACTCAATGAGCACTTTTAGGAACACTGTAGAAAAACTGGGTAAGTCTTCCTGTGTTCTCAAAACAGGCTCAGTTCTGGTCCATGTTGACATAAATGAATCATGCAATTCCAACACATTTTTCAAGCGCACTTTCATGAATCTCCCATTCTAACACATCCCAAAGACATTCTGTTAGATTCAGAGCTGGTGACTGGGAAGGCCACAGTCATGTTTATGAAACCAGTGTGGTCTTGTGTCAGCCTGGACTGCTGACACAAGACAGGCTGGGTCCATGGATTTAGGCTGCTGATGCCAAATTCTGACCCTACCATCAGTGTGTCTCAGCAGACAACAACAGAGCAGGCTGCTTTCTTCCAGACTTCATCTGTGTAGTTGTGGTCAGCCTGTGCCCACCACAGCTTCAGCTTTCTGTTCTTGGCAAACAGAACAGGAATCTGTCTTCTGCTGTTGTAGCCCATTCGCCTGAAGGTTTGATGTTGTGTACATTCTGAGATGCTTTTTGGCTCGGCACAATTGTATAGAATGGTTAGCTGGGTTACCAAAGCCTTTCTGTGAGGTTGATCCAGGCTAGCCATTCTCCGCTGACCTCTGTCAACAAGGCAATTCCGTCCGCAGAGCTGCTGCTCACTGGGTTTTTTTCTTTATTGCAAAATTCTGAGAAACTCTAGAGCAGTGGTTTTCAACCTGTGGGCCGCGGCCTGCAAGTGGGCCATAGTGGTACCACTAGGGGGCTGCAGCCAATATGTAAACATTTAACAAAATGCTATTTTAAATATGACTAATTATTTGCAAAATCATTTGCATATTTAGGTCGATCTTATTTATTCGTTTGACAAAATGCTAGCTATGTTAATATTTTATAATCTGGTGCGAGACAATGTTAAATATTTCTCATTTCAATTGCATGGAATTCATCTATCATGGATTAATGGTTACAAGAAAGGTCTTTTAAAAGAAATATACAGAGGCTGGACCATCCACAGGTGGAAGAGTCACCTTATCTCAGACTGAGAAAAACAAGAAAACCACAAATAAAGTGAAACAAAGAATATATAGCAGTGACTCCCAAGCCTTTTCATGTTTTGACAAAAATGTACAAACGGGCAGCCTGTCTTCGGGTGACAAAGATATATTTTGCTCCTCATAAAATAGGCAAATGATGACATGGGTGGGCTACTTTCTATTTTGGAAAAGTAAAATGAGCACAGACAGTTTCACCTAATTCAGGAGCTGAGACTTTATGAGTGCTTTCACATACAAATTGGATGTTTGTGACTGTTACCGGTAAAAATTATTTTTATTTAGCTGTCAATTCCAGAAAGATGCCAAATTGCTAGGAAGCCAAATATCTTATTGCAAAGGTGCAATTGTGGTAACTGTCTTCAAATGATCATCATGATATAGAAAATAATTAATCACATGACTGAAATGACTTATACACTAAAAGCTAACACTAGCATATTATTTTACTCCACCTCAATTTGGTTCCTTTTCCTGACTGAAAACTCCGATGTTGATTTTGTTGTGCATAAACATAGAATTGCTGTCCGAGGGAAGAGTTACACTCATGCTAGCTTGGTCATATATATTAGCCTAAAGCTCAGTGCCTGGGCTAGCAGTCAGGATTGGTTGATACCACAGAGATCCCCAGCTGTTGTACAAAGTATCTGTGAAATGCATGCTGTGTGTTATAGTAAGAGAAGAAATATAAGAATAAGATATAAAAACTTCTGTCAAACCAGTGTGGCTTAGGGAAACAAGGCTGTGCTACAGAATATTGCATAACACAACAAATAACAAACTCTAGTTTTAGATCAGAATGCTCCTCTAAACTGAAAACTTAATGTTTTGTAGCGATTTCACTAACCTGAAATTCATTAGGGTGAATTGGATATTTGCCAACATTCTGTTAAACAACAGCTAAAATGAAAGAATGCATTTGTGGGCCAAAGATGGATGGGTCATTTAGTCCAATTCAGTCTGAAAAATTCTTCTGTGATGTCTAGCATAACATACAAGTGCATACCATACTAAAAATTAATCATGCAAAGAGGTCAGATGGCGTTTGCATAGACACATACCTGTTGAGTTCATAAAGGTGGTACCCAGTTGTGAAGTAGTCAGTGAGTGGTTTAGTGTTGCTAACACACTGGATGCTGGAGTTCATGAAACACGTGTTGCCAAGGTTACTGAGTCCTGTGGCTCCTTTCTCGGTAGGTACTGTAGAAAAAAAAAGCAATGAGCAAACTTCAAACATAAGCATATAATACACTGAACTCACTTTTAACACTTCAGTGACCCTGCACCTTTGTGTCTATTCATTCTGTTGCTGTTGGCAAGAAATGACATCTCCTCTGGCCAGCTCATGTCTTTGTTGCGCACTACAAAAGAGGAAACAAACAACATAAGTAAGATTGATAAATTCACTCCAGTATTAAATACAATACACAAAAATGGCAAATCATTTGTGAGAACAGTACCTTCAATAACCATGTACTGTTCATCAGGGATCTTTAGTGCTTCCAGTGAGTGATCTTCATCATCCAGAAGAGTCAAGTAATTCTGTTAAAGAACAGATTACACTAATTTGTATCTGCATATTTTCTTTTACCATTGAAAAATTTGGAAACACATGTCATATTAATCACTGTTGTTATTCTTATTCTTGTCAATAATATCTTGTAGAGTGTACATTGAAAAACTAAAGGCTAGACATCAGTAGGTCTTTCAGTGTTTCATTTAATATTTAAAGCTTTTTGGGAACACCAAAAAGTTATTAAATGATGAGTAATACACTGGAATTATTTATTTATACTAATTTCTTGGTAAGTAATCTTCTTAAGATTTGATCATCATGTATCAAATACAAAGCCTTCTACTAATGATTCTAATTTTAGTATAACCTCATTTTCAATGTTTTACAGCTTCCTCAGTCATTAACCTCAGTCTGCAGCCTGAGAGTTACGCCATGTGCACAAACCCAGTGGCAATCATTTTATCAATTTCAGGGTGTAAAACCACAGCTTTCTGTTGTGTTGTCGTGTTTTTTGTCACCTTATAAAATATGTACTAGGACTTCATTTTTGCTGTATGCAAATTTGTTTTTTTAGTGAGTACACTAGCTTAACCAGAGCTCAGTTCAGAACAGTAAACACTTATTATTGTTCTGTTGAGTTAAAATCTTAGATAGGCTTTGTTAGATCACATTCTTACATATCACAATAAACACAACAACGGCCCGAAATATGAAACAGAAAAGAGAAAAAAAAAATACAAAAATAGATACTTTTTGCATCTGCCTTAAAAGTTTAAGAAATCATTTACAGCTTTGTTCATTCTGGACGCATCTAAATATTTTTTCACAGTTTCCTACTCATTAGCTGAAATATGTAACGTTGTAGAGTATTTGCATCATAACAGTATCATCTCATACATTTATCAGCATTTTTTTATTTTGTTGAAAACAGCGATCCTAAACTTTTAAATTGTGATTCCAAGCTTTCAAATGCTAGTGTATATAAAAAGTAGAACAGAACAAAAACTGGAAATGAGAATGAGAATGCAGTGGTTATTTTTCTGTATACCGCAGAGAATGTGTGTGTGTGTGTGTGTGTGTTTCACAGCCTCTTCACCTCATTGATGTAGAGCCAGAGTCTCATATCCTCCTCTTTAATCCGGAGTCTCTGAGACAGGTACTCGTGAATGTCCTTTATTGTGCCCACTCGGCTGAAGCAGCCAGTGTAGACCAGCACCCGCTTCAGAGGGGCACTGGGAGATGGCATGTTACCTACAATACACAGGAGAGTTTTATGACAGTTACATAAATCATGCTGAATAGAAAATCCAACGACAGAATGGTGAATTTTAAAGTGCGCAAAGCAAGATATTATAAAAAATATCACAAAACAATACAGATACTGAATAACGTGTCAATGCATACTCTAACCCAGGATCATCAACTGGAGGTCTGCAGCAAAGCCAGTCTATGTATGTAAAAAATGGTCGTATTTCAGCAACATATATGAACATGAACTTCAGTAGCAGTTCTTTACTGCACATTTTCCAATCTGATGCTCTTATGTAATCAACTTAGGCAAAGTCAGCTAGTCAGAGTAGAAACTAGCTACAGAGTTAGATATCAGGTCAGAAAGCAAACAATTTCACATATTTTTGTAGATTTTTAATGTTATTTACTATTTCTGGTTTGAGTGGTGAAGCAACAATGTGGCTGGGTAAAAAAAGGAAGTTGATCATGAAAACATCACGCTTTAAAACCAATTAATTGATAACTATGCGGTTTTTAGTACAAGTATAAAACTGATGTACATCTGTTCATAGTCTGTGGCGCTCGCCAAGTAAAAACGGTAAATGCTGATGCACAACACATCTCTTTAAATAACTTGCCAACAAAATTTAAAATTAAAACCCAAAGACAGATAAAAGACCACCAAAGTACTTGTCTATTCCTTAACAGCACAAGAGCATGTAATGCTCAATATGAATACTCTTTCTCATTTTATATATATTCACATATACCTCTTTATTTTAAATAAATTTATTTTACCTTATGAAAAGGTAGGGTAGCTTATGAGAAAGCAGCATTTTTTCAAAGCAGTGGTAAAATACTTCTGAAGGTATTTTTTTTCGGGCACATACCTCTAAAATACCCATTCGATTCTAAAATCTAAAACTGTAAAATAAATGTAAATAATAATAATTTTAGTTACATTTTGTTTTATTAGTTGCCTGGACCACTGCAAGTTTTAGTAAAAAACCTGCTCTAGGCATTTTGCTTGCATATGACACAAGGCATTTGCTTTGGCTTTGACATCCAGTTCAAAGTCAGGCCTTTCTGTCTAACCACATGCAACGGACATCACATGACTGGGCTCAGAGACTGCTAGTCTTGTGACTTTCATGTACGGCCACATACGTTCATTAAAGCGCATGTAAAAAAAAGGGAGTTCACAATGCTGAAGTTATTCCCCCTTTACAGATTCAGTACACTTCTTCCACTTAGAGATTCTTTTCATAGCCTTTCCCTTGGCTTTGCTTTTGAGAGTAGTCATACAACAAACTGTATAACATCAGGTAACACACATGCACAAAACTGTCTAACTGTTCACTAACATAATATTATTACATGTTGAGGGATATATATAGAAAGGCATGATAGCCCTTATGTGATCTGACAGTCTATGGAAAAACTAGCAAATTCTGCATCACATTTCTAAAAGGTTAGCCCACCTTTCTGATTGCAGGCCTTTATAAAAATGATGCTATGTCACCCAGGCTTTGGTGTCTGTTCACATCAGGCTTTAAACAATGGAAGAATCATGTGACACGACCAGGAACAGCCAACTGACCAGCTGACAAGCTAAGAACAAAAGGTTTACTAGGGGAACCAGTGCCATTGCTGAACTATAAATAAGTTTACTGTACAGCCCTTTGTACATCAGAGGTGGAGGCAAGCCTCAATCGCAGTAGTACAGTGAGTCCACATACAAGCATGTTGTTTGTTCCATTTGCTTATCTAGAGATTTCAGTCCTACCCATGTTGATCCAGCCATTAGACTGTGGTGTGCGGGCTGGAGGCTGCTGTCTCAGGAAGAGCAAGTGTCTGGGAAAGAGTTCCAATTCAGCCTTCTCTATCTCCCTTGTCCTGATCACCTGCCCAACAGAAGTAAACCATCATATAAATAAAGACTACAGAGACACTGCAATGAGAATTAAGAAGGACTTACTATACTGTATAATGCAATTATTATACGTACCGGCCGCGGCAGGCTGAGGTTTGCTCCATACCAGTGGTAGAGAGCCCTCCAGACTGGCTCAGGTACAACCTCAAAGTCCTGGCCAAGATGCAGGTTGGGAGATCGCCTCAACAGCCCCCCTTCCATTGTCAACGTAGGAGCCTATTAGGCAGAAGTCATAATGGTAATTAATCAAACGACAAAATGGGATCTTCACATGTAAGACTGTATCTAAGCAGGATGACTTCTTAATCTGTAGATCTAATATTAATATTAAGAATCATTATTCTATGGATAATAGTAAATACTATACATAAACCATGCAGTTAAGAGAGTGAAGAAGTGGGCCCATATTAACTCCAGTTTAAGTGGATAAGTATTTTGCATAAAAGCATATGAACCTACAAATCAATCAATGGAGGATAAGCCCATAAGCTCACATTAATCCAATACAGTCATACATGCGACTGCAATCAACAGCTTTATTTGGAATCACCTTGAGAGGCTCTGAGGTAACCAGTGGCTGGTTGTCTATGGCACCAGGTCTGAGGGCTGTCACATTCCCATCAGCCACCAGGAAGCTCTGACTGTCTGCTTCAGAAGACTCAGGCTGTCGTGAGAAGCAGATGTCTGTGGGGGTCGAGCCAGAAGGGAGGACACCTGCAGAAGAAAGGATAAAAGCGTATGAGTGAGAAACAATGGCTTCTGTGGCTGTGGCTTATAGCCTGTAGTAGACTTTGAGAAATTTACATGAATACTTACTGCCACTTGTGGTCTCAGAGGCTTCAGATGCGCTGGAGATGTTGTCAGAGAACTTCTCCTCAGAGGAAGAGTGTGAGCTGGCCATGCTTTCTCCTTGACCACTCTGTTCCACCCCAGTTGATAATGTAGGACTTCTGCCAGCAGCAAATACTGATGGCTGTTCCACCACTATCATCTTGCTGTCCTACAAGCAAAGTATCACCAAGATCAGCTGCCATGCACTGTACTGTGCACAAGTTTGTATATTTCATTTCCAAACAGCCCTTTAAGTAAGCCATTTTTCAGTGTCAGAAAAAAGCAGGAAACATATACATAAGCCTCCTACACTAAGTACAAGATCAAATCTATCTTTAACTCTTCCATCCTTCCGATCTAAAAGCTGTTCCCAAAGGACTCACTGACATTATGCTCCCCCCCTTCAAAAAGACAGTAACATTCACACAAGCAACTACCCAAACACACCTTAGCTGCCTTTAAGTTCACTCTCATGTGCATCTTAAATGGCTAAATGAGACATTTCTGAGAAGATTTAAGATAATGCGCATGCAAGTCACTGCAGCTGTCAAGAAGCTTTTACTGAGAAAAAGAAATAGACAAAAAGAAGACAATTTGTACTAGAACACCAAAACTGGACATCTGAGATGTGGAGTAAGGTTTTACAGACTGATAAGTCTATGTGTAATTGAGATTATTTGGACCGCGAAAAGCAGAAAACGCAACCAACTTCTAAGACTGAACTTTGGAGGAGTGAAAAAATGGAAAAATATCCCTGCAGATTTCTTTGAAAAACTGAAAGTCTCTCAAAACAATGGAAGCTGTAATAAAGGCAAAGGGTGGACACACTAAGTACTGAAATGCTATGACATTTATTTGTGGAGATCTCTATTTAATGTTCTGTTAAATATGTTTTCTGCTTTTTTTATGATGCTGATAAATGAATAATTTTTAATTAAGTTTTTCTTTTGACAAGAAATTAAATTAGTGTGAGTACTGTGCAGTACTGTACATAGTATTATTATGAGTTATGTCAGCACATTATATATTTTTAATAGTTTTATTTGCACCTTTCATGACTAAATTTTGTTGTCTAGTACTTATACTTTGTTATGACAAAGCTGTATTTAATGTGATCTAATGTATTTATGTCATAAACGCTAACCCTTGAACCTTTTTTTTTAATTTAAGCTTTAAGACTACTGGGTAAAATATATGGAATAAAAACTAGACTATGTTATGCATGAGTACAGATAAGTGTGACAGACAATGTTGTTAGTACTTATAAATGAGAGCATTTGTCGTCTAAGAGCTTTTTCAAACTGTGAGCACTGAACAAGGGGTGAATTTGGGCTGTCACCCATGTTGTAGTTTTAAGCTTACATATTTGACATAATCCTTCCACTGCTGCCACCACTGTGTGGAGATGAGGAACCAGTAGTCTCCAGGCTGAAGGCCATGCCGGCTCTCTCTCTCTAACCAGCCCCTGCATACAGAGCACAGACCACTGATTAGTGCACTTTAAACTTTCTTACACAGTGTGTCTCTACACTTATTGTGTGACTACCATGTAGCCCAAACACAGAATGGAAAAGATGTAAAAGGAACAGAAAGCAGGAAGAGATAATGATATGAACCTGATGATCTGTCCTTCCTCCTCTGGAGTGGCAGGCCGCAGTCCAAGAACAATGTGACATACCTTAAAAGAGTCATGAGCAAAAACTAGTTTCTTAGTCATAAAAGGATAAACCATTGCTGAGACAGTCAGAATGGCAGAACATCAATACATTCACAGTGGTGTTCACTCTTACCTGAAATAGAAGGTTCAGGAATTCTGCAGCAAGTGCACTCTGCACACTCCATATCTGATAGTCTTCAAGTGTCAAATGGCCCTTCTAAACATCAGAGCAAAACGAAGCTGTAAACACCCTCATGCATGTCAGTACAACTGATTGAAGTCACAATTATAATTGATGATAAATGCTTAAAAAGTGTAGCTCACTGAAACAAGTGGAGGAAATTAGTCAAAAGCATAGATTCTGAACTTTCAATCCCACATTTTTGTTGGTAAGTGGGAGAGGAGATAATTGTTATATAACGTTTTTGTTGTGAGCAGACTTTTTCGGGGACAGAAAACATAACCTTTACATTTTTCCATGCGTTTCTCATACTTTGACTTTAAATAAAATGAAATAAACATGCAGACTCAAACCTGTCAATACATAATAGAAATAAAAAGGAAAAGAATTGAGTTACATAACTAAGAATGCAATTAATAATGTACTTACATTTATTTAGAATAACAATCCATATAATAAAAATAACAATAATAATAATAATAAGTGTAGGCTTCTAACAACTAAAGAAAAAAGTGCACAAAGATACCTTGGTAGTGTCATGTACTCTAAGAATGTCTTCAACAATATCCAACACACTGGACTCCAATTCCTGCAAAAAGAGAAAAAATTAAATGTAAGGGGGGTAAACTTGGCAACTGCAGCATAAGGATATTAATGCTAATGCTAGTGCTACATAACTAAGCCAGAATCTAAAAATTATGAATAATTAATACAATGAAAAAAATTTGAAGGATACTGTAACCTGAGACAATGTTTTAATGTCCTGTAAATGTAAACTTACAGGAATGGAGTCAGTACGATTGTCTCTCCACACCTCCAGCAGCGCTCCAACCATTTCATGGATTTCTTCTCGACACAGAACTCCATCACGGTCGACATCAAATACTTTAAAACAAACTGTTCCAAGGCAAAAATGCAGCATAAACAACAGCAGGTTATTGACATATATACAGCATATTACAGGTTAAGTCTACGATCTACAATCTGGGTAAATATTGTCTCAGGCCTTAAAAGGATGGTACACTGCTGTTCAGACCTATGCGGTGCAAATACTGGGGCTCTCTGAAAACAGATCATGCCAGAATGGTTAAGTTACCCCACAACAGTCTGAGAAATCAACATATTTATTACCAGAGACATCTTAATAAACTTGAACTAAGAACATTACATCTTCCACAATCCACTGTGGCAGCCAGTTACTCCAAGGGGCATGTTTATTTGAGAGCATGCCGATACAAGTAATGGACCAGTGCGAGTTTGTTTTGAGTTTGTCCTTGTTATTATGCACTATTGATAAAATCAATCCTGACCTTCTGTGCTATGTAAAATTAACAAGCACGTAAAAATCAGGGATGCCACCTATGAAGCTCATTTTGTGCCAAAAGTTTCAAATAAAATACTAAAATCCACAAGCAAAATAAAAAGTATCAAAATGTCCAAAATATGTTGCAAACACAAATAATCAGAGTAAAATAAAACTTAACTTTTCAAAGATTACTACTCATTTTCTTTTATTCTGATATAAATGTATTACTCATTTTGCCAGTATTTTTCTATTTGCTGATTTTGACATATTTTTGCTTCTGGAATCGCTCTTTTGCTTCTGACTTTTGTCACTTTTTAACACGGGGTAGTTCCAAGAAGAGTGTGTACACCTGCACTTTCTATTGGTCAGCTGATTTGGAGTGACAGGTCTTCTGAACATGTAGCCACTCACCGTGAACCACCCCGGCACAGTGGAACATGTTGTGCCAAGGAACACAAATTTAGTTGTTTATGAATGAACGAAACTGTACCACCTTTCAAGCATGCAGCTGCATGCTAGCCTGGAAGTGTCCTCTAGGGCTAACTAGGAGAGCCATACTGGTAATAGAATTAAAGAGCTCAAATACCTAAAGTCAGTTTACTGTATTAATGTGAAGACAGTGATTTGGAGCAGCACATTTTGTAAACTGGCATGCTGAAATAGAAAGCCTTTCAGTGACTGACATAGAGGCACTCTGTGGGTAGAAAAAAAGAGAAGACTTACATAACAGCCTTCATAACCCCCAAACAAGACATCTTGACTTTATTCCCTTCCGTAGTGATTAAACATTACTGTCTATCAACTGTCTCACAGCAGCAGTATTTTGGTACTTAATATTTTGCTTCTGGATGTTTTATATGAAACTTTTGGCACAAAATTAACTCCACAGTCACCTGCCATTATTTACCAAGCGACGAACTTGGTTAGAAGCAATTCAAAACATTCACGATACAAAACAATATTCAAATATGAGAGTATGCAGTCAACATTTCAGTCTGGAGGAATGTGAACATGACCTGGAAGCAGAGTTAGGGTTGTACTCCAAAATGTAATCTGAATAAAACTGTCTGTCTGTGAGCCTTCCTTAAACATTATTTGGGATGTAAGTCATTGTTTTTTGAAAATGGCACCCCTAAGTGAAGACTGGATGCTAAACTAAATCATTTGGACATGAATTGTTTACCACTGTATACCGTTTACCAGGGAAAACACTATTTCTGGACTTACATAGTGCATTTAAATCATTCTTTTTCAGTCAGAAATGCTTTCCCGGAGATGAGGACATGAATTTTGTGAAAAACTGGCAAACTATCACTTTAAGGTCTGGTTTAGAAGAAAAAAAAAAACAATGCTTCAAAGCTGATTGAGTTACTCCACAATATAAACAGTTCTCTGTTCAAAAGGCACGCACTGATGTGCTGGTAAAAATCTTGCATCAATAAAGCAGCAAGTTCAAGCACTTACATTTCTGTCTCTCTGCCAGTGGCCCTCTACAGCATGCTGACAACCCACAGGAGATCTCTTTGAAGTCTATGTGATTGTCTCTGTTCTCATCAAAAGCATGGAACAAACCTGAGGAATTACAAAAGCACAACTCACGATCCTTCATTTAAGTTGACTTTATAGCTGTTGTTCACAAAAACACAGTGCCCTAGTCAAAGAGGGCATCAAAGGGGTCAGTAACTAAAATCATTAAACAAGAGTTAATAAAATCTCATCAGTAATCACATACCTTCACTTACGGATGGATGAATAGGAGGAGATACCAAAGGGATAAACGTTTCCAGGTCGAATCGTCCGGTTCTTGACTGAGCTTTTAGTAACCAGTACCGCTTCTCCAGGTCAATGATGTCAGATTCTTCTACTGCTCAATATACAGTGATTTATTAGGTTTCGCTTCTGTGACATAGTTATATACAAGACACTCACAGAACAGCAGAGCATGCAAGTAATAGTGGTTGATATACTGGTTAGTCCACTGAAACTCTTCTTACGTTATAAATTTTGTCATTACTGTTACACTGGTATGCCACTAATAAACACAGATACAGTGCAGTACAGTACACATACAGTGCAAAACATGCTAATTCCTTGATCTCCCACCCCATCTCTCTTATCTTGTTATGGTTAGAAAGCAATACTGATGTGTATATATTTTGTTTATTTCTGTTTTTAGTATTTCTCCAAATAAAAACATTTTAGATTTGCTTCAATTGTTAAATATGGTTCTAATAAAAAAAATAGAGACATCCCAGAGTAATACGCCATTGTTAACCTACATAATAGGTTTACGTAAGCATCCAAAACTGTTTTATTTGAAAATGTATACACATAAATACACCACAACACATATACAGAAACCTCAAGTAATCTTAATTACACTGTGATATAGTGATTTTGGGTGATACTGCCCATCATTACATACAAGACCCCTTGTGTGGATTACTTATTTAGTGCTCCATAAGCCACATCTGGCTTGTATCAATGCTAAGGTAACATTAGTACAACACTACAGCTGAGGTACGTACATCCCGTACATACTCATCCTTTACAACAGAAGTCTTTCAATTCCTGCGAATCCTTGAATCCAGTTTCCGGTCCTAGATTTTGTAATCGCAGGTAGGTATAGCATTAGGGGTCAAACAGTTACATCAACAGTTCTGTTTTCAGCGATTACAAAATTCAGGACAAAAAAGTGGTCTGCGTTTGAAGTTAGTTATAAGATGATTCCACTGAATTTAAGCCTTGGGCTAAACTGCAGTGCAAACAGTGAGTCACCACTGATAATTTTTTAGTCTACGATTAGACAAAAACAATACAGATCTGGGAAAGTGTCCGTATAATAACAAAAAGAGGATGCTGTGGTCTGACACAGTGAACTTTTGGAAATAGTTCTACCATATCAAGAAATATTGACTATGGTTGGAGCACCATATACTTTATGAGAATCAGCTCTTACATTTTACTTTACCACTGTTCAATGCCTACTGATTATGCAGAATGCCAACAATGCACTCACAGTGTGTGACCCCAGCTAAGGTCTGGTAGAAGGTGGGCGTGTCGCTGTCATCAGTCAGAGTCACACACACCCCACTTGACAGGAGCCAGCGGGAGAAGGTGAAAGCATCCTTGTTTTGGAGCAGCCAGCTCTTAAACTTCTCATAATTTACTTTCTCCGCCTGCAAGAGACCAGAGCACAGGAAGAATACACAAAGACAAACCGTTAGGTAGTTCACTGAGCAGCACTAAAACATTCAGACTTAGAGGTCAGCAAATGACAGAGACATTTAGGTTTGAAACACCATCTTCCAATTCTTTGTGAACCCCTCAGCAAGCCATATGTGTCTTGTAATGAATGTGATGCAATTCAACAGAAGAGGCACCACAAGATCCACTATTTTTGTTCTAAACAGCAGATTATATCTAAAAGTAAGTTATGAAAGTAGAAAAAATTACATTTTTTTACTACATCAGATTCATTATTTCTGCAGAAATGAAAATGCAATGCACTGAAATCTGCTTATTCCCTAAAAAACTTTGTCAGGTGAACTTCTGCGAGTAGCAAACCTCTGTAAAGCACTTCCTGAGCGAGGGATGCACTTCTCCATCCACAGTTTGCAGCATTGTTTCAATGTCTTCACGTGTAGCATAGCTGCCTGATTCATTGGCAAAAAGACTGAAAATGTCTGCAAAAGATAAAAAAGAACAAGTCATCAGATAAAATACCAAACATATCATTTTCAGCTCTGTCTTTGTTGCTGCTTATGACTTTGTCTATAACTGGTATCAGTTTATGCCTGCAGAGGCAGAAAAACAGCTGGCTGTTAATGAGGTCACTCACATCTTGCCTTTTCTTCATCGCGTCCTCTGGTCAGCAGCACCAAGCCAACGATAAGGTTGTTGAAATGCAGGCCCTTCGATGTGCCACCAAATGAACTATAGATGACCTGAAGAAGAAAGAAGAGCAGGTAAACAATGTCCAACAACTTCATTTATGAAGAAAAGGAAAATGCCACAGAACATGTTCTAACGTGATGAAATTCTGTATCGTTAAACTTTAAATAGACATCAAACAAGACTTACTTGAATTTTCTTCTTTTGTTCAGAGTCAAATTTGCATTGTCTATCATTTATTTATTATTACGTAACATTTGTTATAAACAGTTGTCCTGTGTGACAAATAGGCTAGATTTAAAGCACCCATATCCAACATATTTCTTGTGTTTTAATTTTTTTCACTGAGGTCCACTTATGACATTTGTGTGAACGTAAAGTCCTTTTACATGATCATTTCCCAAACTTTCTTTATTCCTCAGAATTAAACAATTTGTTTTTTGTTACTGTGACTTTCAGACTGATAAATGAGCTCTGTTATGATTGGCCGCCATGTATTTTTGCACATTCAAAAGCCTTATAACTTCAGAGTGAATGGGCTAAACTGCTATAGGCTAAATAGGCAGATGTATGTAAACGTATTGCTTTTTATGAAATTACAAAAACAATGAATAGGAAATGGGCTGTTTTTGAAGCTTTTAAAAGAACATTTTAAAACTTTGACCGTGTTTAAATTCAACACCAAACCGTCTTTAAAAAAATTATACAGGCCCTTTGCTATGATACATTGAGAGATAAAAACTCTTTTTAACTATACGATTTGGTCAATTAGAGAGATTTGTGGTACATGAGGTCCTGGCCAAATCATTCCAAAGAAATCACATTCCACATTAATCACATTCCATATTCCTTTCCCATTCAATTCCTTGGCCTTGCTGATCACTTCTGGTTATTTTAACCTCTGTGTTTTTCTTGCTATCACCTTATTGTTAAAATGTTATGTTTAGTTTTTGCTACAAGGTCTTTTTTGAACATATTTATGATGAATATTTTAAGTTAGACTCTTTCATCAAGTCTCTACTTGCCAAAATCACACTGACTGAAAAGAGTGAATGCAGTTCAACAGTCCAGGTTGGACAGAAGATAAAGCAGAGTCCAAAGGTCTTTTACTTGCAGTACTATTCAACTAACACTGCATCAAAGCTGCAAGTAAAATCTAGGGAGACAGATATGGGTCCTGTACAGGAACAGGAAGTGGTCACGTGCCTCAAATTCATGAGAACTGACATTTATTCACAAGAATACTGAAAGAGTGATGAACAGTTGTAATGGAACTCAGACTCAAAGGAGACCTACATTCCTAAGAAAATGACTTTAGAACACGAAACAGTATATTCTAGCACGTCCTGATCCAGTCACGGCTTGAAAACATTACACGCTCTGCACGTCAGCTCAATATAGCTTGGCCCTCAAACGTTTGTTTGTTTACTTCTGAAAGTGAGCTTGATAGTTGAACTACTGCACCCATAACCTTGGATTCCAAGCAAACGCATTTACTGGAAAGAAAATAACACTGGGGTGCAATATGGGGAATGGGGGGGTGTTTCAAACAGAATCAGTCATTTTCTTGTTTTTTTCATGTTTAAAACAACAGCACATGGTAAAAAGACATAAGGCAGAATTTACTGCAATGTTTCTGTACCTGCAGCACATGTTCCGAAGGGAAATTGGCACCATCATTACCAAACTCACTAAACTATATGTGGACATTTGTAGACACCTGATCTTCCAGCCTTTTTTAACCAAGGGTATTAATAAGGAGTTGTACCACTTTTGCTGCAGTAACAGACTGCAGTGGAAAGCGTAACACTAGATGGAAGATTGCAGTGACGATCTGATTGAGAGCATTAGTGAGATGAGGTACTGATGTTGGATGTTTCGTTCACAAACTCCACTCCACCTCATCCCAAAGATGGGGTGGAGCTCCATCACTCCAGAGAACACAACTCTGCTGCACAGCCCAAGGCTGGGAGCTTTGTACCCCATCTGGCTGACACTTCGCATTGGGCATAAGTGACCTGAGGCTCATGTGTGGCTGCTACAGAGCGTTCTGTTCTATTGTCAGTGCTTTTCTATGAAGATTCTACACCTGGGTCAGCAATGAATGCACCGTAAAGTAGTAGAAGGAGTGTCTGGATTTTTTTGGACAAACAGTGTTGCAGCTTGCTTATCTAATCTTTCCCCAAATAAGCAGCTACAATATAAATGAATCTGAATTAACATGTTGGGATTACACAACATGAATACACTAATAAAGAGAATCACAAAAGTGAAATCATTTTCATCAGACTGTTTCAGTTTCAGCCATGTAGAAACTTCACCCTGCATTACAGGCAACTTAAGCCACCATTACAATAGAGAATGCCCATATCTGTATTCATGTTAGGTTACAGAGTTCACTTACATATCCCCGTGTGCTCACCTCCATATTTTAATAATGGAAATCAGTTAAATGAATCAAGCTTATATGGCCTAAAGAAACAAAACAGTGGTGATACAATATACACCACAATATATGTGATACAACAATATTCTGTTACATGTCTAGCAGGCATTACACTAAATTAATTTCCTTATTACAAAGGCCAAATCAGCTATTTCAGCTATTTCAGAGCATACATTTTCAGTCAGTATAAGTTTAACGTAAAATAAGGTGTGTAGTTTTATACAGAACACTTTTAAGAGCAAAATCCCCCCAAAAAACGACTGGCTTAATTAATAATGTCTCTATTACATGCTTGTTACAATAGAAATTAAATCTATCCTGCATAAAACATCACACAGGCAAAACATTGTGATCTGGGTTATCAAATCGCCTCAGATGAACTTATTTCAAATCTGTCATGGCAGTTTTTCTTCATAATGCAAAATAAAACAAATGAAAACCATACAGTTAAACCATCCATAGCTACGGTGCAGATGCTCACAGAGGGTACTTACAAGAAACTCTGAAATGTGTCAAAGTCAATTATCACCTGCTGAAACTCGCAGAGGCACATTCCACACAGCCAACACACAGATAGGCCATATTTCTGCACTGTGAACTCAAAGGAATTCACAACAACCACTACAGATACAGCCGCTGAAGATTTAGACTAGTCATACCTCGGAGATATTGAGAGGAACCATGTCCCCCAGCACTTCCTTGAAGAAGCATTGCTGACTCATATAGCAGGACAAGCCACAGGTCCTCCTGAAAGCATCCCTTAGCCTTTTGAGCTCAACATCAGTCACTGAAAAAAGAGAGAAATAAAGCTATTTGGGTGCCTAATACAAGACAAAATGGCAAAACAACAACAACAACAACAATTTAGCTGATGCATCAGAAACATCCTGGATCACCAACGTACAGACACTCCAGAAACACTGTCAGGTTTGGTCTCCCATTCAAAATGAGATAAACAAAACATCGGACTACATATTTAAAATGTAATCAGTGCATTAGCCAGAGGTATGCTGCAGTGTTTGAGACATGGCAGGATGTGGTAACGAGGGTTTATAGTAACCAGTGTTTTAAGAAGCTCTGAAATAAGCAAGCATGACGTGTAAAAGGAGCTGTTTAGCTAAAGATGATCATTCCAGCTTTAAGATTGGAGATTTAAGAAAACTGATTCACACTGACAGCAATTGCGCAATAGGCTAGCCAAATGCTCAGACTATAAACAAGTCTGCTAATGTTATATACGAGGCCAGAGAGGACTGAGAGTTGTAAGAGAAAAACTGCAAATAGCAATACATATCATTTTGCCAGTTCGGTGGCAGAAATGTGCATTAATTTAGGGCGTATTTGCTTTAAGTCAGATTGCCGCTGCAGCTGTAGCAGCTAGCTCCAACGGCTAGCTAGCTATCAGCCTGTAAGCTAAATGACAGCTGTACTGTCTGCCTGCTCGACGGTGTAAATATATGCAGGCTAAACTAACAGTGACACTGTAAAGGAACAGTATCAGGTACAAACAGATGCACTAAAGTCTATAAGATGGATGACAACAACGGCACCCCTTTGTTAACGCTAGATAAACAGAGCTAGTACTGAGGCTGACAGCTGCTAAGCTGATGCTAACGTGCTAAGCCACTTGTCGCTAATGTAGCGTTAAGTGGATCAAACCTAAGCGAGCTAGCGAGCTAACGCTGCTAGCTTCACAAACAGGGGACTGCTGGCTTATTAAAGACGTTAAAGGTACAACGGCTTTGCTTACCTCTCTTCACCGCCTCATCATAAGAGAGGAAACCAATCCTTGATTCTTTGGCCCCCATATTTTCTTCATTTCATACTGTAAACGAAAGCATAGCGCGAGTAGCTTCAGCTGCTGTGCCACCGCAACCTCTCTCTCTCTCTCTCTCTCTCTCTCTCTCTCGCTCTCTCTCTCTCTCTCTCTCTCTCTCGCTCTCTCTCTCTCTCTCTCTGCTTTCCTCCTGAATCGCCGTGGGACCTAACTATCGAGGGTCAGAGGAGACTGAAGCGGTATTACTTAATATTTCACTCATTAATGGGCAGAGGCGGCTACAGTTCGTACAGTAGTCCGAACCCATACTGAGGTGAAAGTATGCTCACTGGGGTGATGCTCCGATGTGGGAACTGTGGGATGATTCAGGCATAACATTAATGTGCATATCTGCCCGTGCCGATATTTAATGGAAGCCCATTCCTGCCACTTAAAATAGAAAAAAACGGCACTTAATTCATTTTTTTGCATTGTTAAGTGAATTGTGTGAATCTCGTTATTTTAAAATACTAAGTCATTCTTTTGAGATACTATCTTATCAAGTCATGATTTTAAGAATTTCTCTTGTTATTCTGAGAAACCTTTTCCTTGTTTTTCAGATGCTTTTTGCTTTTGATATGAAAACATAAATAAATATATAAATATATGCTTTATTTATATATTTATTTATATATGAATGAAATATATTTATATCTTTACTTATAAATTTCAAAACAACAAGAAAGCATCTCATAAATGAAAAACTGTCTTAAATGATGCAAGATGATGTAGCTCGGTAAGGGTGGAGTTCATCTAGAGCAGAGGTGTCAAACTCAACCACTAAAAGGGCCATATTAAAAAATCTCAACAAATCTGTGAGCCGGTGAACATCTATGTTTTATTTCCTTTTTAATTAACGTTTTACTATAAACCAAACTGACCATTGTTTATTCAAAATATGCAAAAGCTTCAACAGTAAAATATAGGCACTTGTAGTACATCTTGAAATATTACATGAATACTTGAAATATTAAAAATGTAAATGTCCCTCAGTCTTTTAAACCTACCAAACTAGACATCTGGCATCCTTTCTTGGCTGCAAGTTTCTTAATACTAGTGCTCAATTTCTCAGCTGCTGAGCTGACGTTAAGTGTTTATATCAGCTGAACTGCAGTTAGTTGTTAGGTGATACGACTGGTGTGGAATTGTGTGAATTAAGGTGTAATCACTGTCCCATAGATTGTTGTTGGGGTAGGAGAGTCAGAGCGCACATTATGTTGCCGTGCATGCTGGGGACTGTAGTGTAGCACTTTGTGAAACAAGCTAGTATTAATAGAAAATAAAAAAATATTTTTGTGGGCCAGATAGGATTGTGTCACATGCCTGATGTAACCCGTGGGCCTTGTGTTTGACACATGGGATCTAGAGTAACAGGAGAAGAAAAGAAGTTGTAACCTCAGAAACTGTGAGAAACTTTCAAAAACAGAACCTTTATAATGTCTCTTATTAACTCAAAGATAAATGTGCTTAGTGTGCAAAGTGTTTTTAGCTGTAGTCCCTGAGCCCTCATGATGTAAAGCCATATTATATAGATATATTTTCTACAGAAATGTTAGTTTTAAAAAATGCAAGAAATGTAAAGTTATTGTGTCTCCGCTGCGTAAGTGAGTGATCCAAAATACCAGAGGTGAGGTTGAAAGAAGTTTTCCTACTCATAGAGCTCATCATCCTTGGTAACATGATATTATGTATGGAATTATTGACCTCGGTGTGAATGTTTCTGAAAATGTTGTCCTTTGTGATCCCAAACAATTCTCTGAGAGGCTCACTATGGGGCGCTGTGTTCATCTCACTGCGGCCCAACAAAAACAAGCATTTTAATCTGTGCTTCAGGTCCACCAGTGGCTTACTGGCTTCATCCAGCCTGGATTTCATGCTGCTCCTTAAGGAGAGAGAACAAAAACAGATATTACAGATATATTATAATGAACACATTACCACAAACTAGAGATGATGTTATAAATACTATTATGCAGCAACTCTTCATTATGTTTTTGATCATTGATCATTTTAGAGAAATAATATTAGTTCAGTCCTCTCCATAATATACACTTAGACCTTCACTTAGATTCATTCTTTGCGGTTTCATTGGTTTAGATCAATTCTAGTTCTTTACGGTTTTATTGGTTTGGATCTCTAAATTGGTTTAGAGAAACTCCCTCAGCCAGGGATCTATTTTAGAGAAGAGCAGCAGTAGCAGCTCCTCTGTTGGAAGTGTCTGCTCTCTTCTTTTAATGTCCACTTCATCATTCAAGTATGCTATACTCTGACTTTGCTGTGGCTGCTCTTTTCTGAAACAGATCTATGGCCGAGGGAGGTTCTCTCAGATGGAGAAGTGCATGTCTCTCCATGTTCCACTCCATGGGGGCTGCTGGAGATTGAAATGTTCTCAGAGGACCTCTAAGTAAAGCTGGAGAAACCATCTCCTTCACAGCTGCTTCCACCCAGCCAGAGATTTTGTTCAGCACTTCATTGAATTCCTCCTTTGTCATCTGTTTTAATATTTATGAAAAGGGAAAAGGAGGGCATTACAGGCATGTATTTATTTTATTATTTTTATATAACAGTTTTCTAACTTCTAAGGGTCTTTGGGGTCTTACAGTAGCTTTGGATCAACAACCCAATTATTTACTGAAAAACTTCACAGGTACAAACTACACATACCTATGTCAAGTGGAATGCAGTCAGAAACTTTACCCTCTTAACTGTGTGAAAAATACTTTTTTCAGTATAATAATAATATTATATTAATAATACTGTAATAATTTAAGAAATTCAGATCAGTTGGATCAGAAAAAACAGCAGTGCCACATTTTTAAAAATACTATCAAAATATGAAATGATGATATTTTTATTCAATACTTGGCATACTATGTTGCCCTAAATCCATTTAAGCAGGAATAACTTTGCTCTCATTATAATAAAATGCGTAGTTGGTCAATGTTCTACAAGCACTGATGATGTGTACAATATCAGAAAAGCACATTGAATTGTACTGTGACAAAATTTATTACAATAATGATATATATAGTCATATTGCCCAGCCCTATGTTATAATCAGCCAGTTAGAACATAGTTGTTATTACATAGTAGCTGTAATAACAACTTTACCCAGAACATGTTGTCTTCTCCAAGACATTTCAGTTACACAATTACCCATACTTTACCACATGATATATTTTACTGTTAAAATGGACATTAACACAAATTAGGCTAGTTGGCATTTCATCATTTTACTCATGCTATTTCCCAAAAACAGAAATAAAAAAGCATTGATATGTTTAATTACTCATAATAGATACAAACATTAGCAAATAAAACTATTGGTCTTAAAATTGAAATCCACAAAGAGTGATGACTTACTCCTCATGCAGAGCAACAGAGCTCATCCTGGGAGCCCCTTTCCCACAGAGAGGCATGTTGAGCTCCTGACTGTCTGCATCCTCATCATTCGCTACAGCACAGCAAATAACTGTGGCGAAAGTGGAGATCGAGGACACAAAAACAATCATGTTACCCTTTTAATGCCTTTATTATTTTCTTTAATCGATCATTGTAGGTCAAAAACTAATGACACATAAACAAAGCTCACTGTGACTCACTAGGAAAACTTCTATGATAAAGTATTTACTGTATTATTCATTAAATTATGAGTCAGTACTGCAAATATATAATTTTTTTGTAGTAAAAATACTGTATGCCTGTATCTCATACCTGACCAGCACTTTCTTTTCATTCTCTCTTTTATATTTCTTTCCATGGTCACGGCTCTCAGAGGAAAGCTCATCCTCTCCAAACTACAGCACAAAAATAGAGAACAATCATATGCGTATATATATATATATATATATATATATATATATATATATATATATATATATATATATGTGTGTGTGTATATATATAAATATGCGCATATTAATGTTCTCTATTTTTGTGTATGTGGTAAAGTATGGGTACATATATATACTCCCACAATGTCACATTTTGTTGACACACTTTTTTGGGGCATTTTCTGAAATTTTAGCGTGTCATTTGCTGAATTTAAGATAAAATAAAAATATTTATTATAGCCTTTTACTGTTATTACTTTATTTTATTGACTGGAACAGCTCAAAATACTTAAAACAGCCATGAAAATAACACAATAACATGGCCAATAACTGTAGTATGTTAAGTCGGCTATAACTATGAAAAAATATATTGATCCAAAGATCTACATCTACATAAGCAGCACCATGAGTTTTAATAACTACATTAATACAGAGAGCTCAGTTAGTGTGTAGATGCATGTTTGTGTGTGTAAGAGTCATATATGTGCAGTTCCAGTGTTACAGCTCTGCTGGCCAACAGCATGCGATACAAAATTATTAAATTTGGAGTATTTGCTGCATCACTTTGTACTGACTGTATTTTAGGGATGAATCTCCAAGTGAAAAAAAAAATCACATAAAACTTACATTGTCAACTTTCTCTTAACACTGTCAGAATTTCATATTAATTCCAGCAAAATTATCAATCAAAGACCAAATCTAATTGTATTTTTGGCATCTTACTTACAAAAAAATCTACAGTAAAACCACCAGAAACAATAAGATATCCATAGTATGTATACAACTTCCATGATAATCTAGAATATTTCACTTTGGTATATTCCTGTAGTACCGTGTTTCAGTAATGTATTATAATTATTGTTGTGTAGCACTATGTAGTAAACTGTAGCAACTGTTTGACTTCACTATACGATTCTTAAATTAACCCCCCCAAAAAAGATTAAATTAGAAACTAAATGTTAATCACTAAAATGTAACTGAGTAAGTAGATTCCTGTTCTCACAAATGTACTTGGGATATTAAAATGTTCTCACTTGAAAAAGCTCAGGGAATGGCAAATGTATTTAAATTTTTACCTGATTACATGTAAATGGGGCAACACTTTTGCCTCACAGCAAGAAGGTCCTGGGTTCGGGAGACCAGGGGTCCCTTTCTGTGTGGAGTTTGCATGTTCTTCCCGTGTCTCTGTGGGTTTCCTCCGGATGCTCCGGCCAAATTGCCCCTAGGTGTGAGTGTGTATGCATGTTTATGTCTGTGTGTCTGCCCTGCGATTGACTGGCAACCTGTCCAGGGTGT